TTTATTTCCCTGGGCTCCAAGATCACCGCAGACGGGGACTGCAGCCAAGAAATTAAAAGACACTTGCTCCTGGGGAGGAAAGCTATGGCAAATCTAGACAGCATACTAAAAAGCAGAGACATCACCCTGCCAACAAAAGTGCGTATAGTCAAGGCTATGGTTTTCCCAGTTACAGTGTATGGCTGTGAAAGCTGGACCATAAGGAAGGCTGAGCGCAAAAGGATTGAGGCCTTTGAATTGTGGTGCTTGCGGAGACTCCTGTGAGTCCCTTGGACCGCAAGGCGATCAAACCGGTCAGTCCTAGAGGAGATCAACCCTGACTGCTCTTTAGAAGGCCAGATCCTGAAGATGAAACTTAAATACTTTGGCCACCCAATGAGAAGGAAGGACTCCCTGGAGAAGAGCCTAATGCTGGGAACAATAGATGGCAAAAGAAGAAGGGGATGGCAGAGAATGAGGCAGCTAGATGGAGTCACGGAAGTAGCTGTCGTGAGCTTAAGTGGACTCCGGGGGATGGTGGAGGACAGGAAGGCCTGGAAGAATGTTGTCCATGGGGCCGCGATGGGTCGGACACGACTTCGCGACTAACAACAACATTTCTGTAGTTGCAGAATTACTCCTCAGCTGAGGTCAGGGCAACTATCTCCTTGCTTCCTTTGCACAAGGATTGCAAGGCCCATCTATTTTTGCTTTTGCCTGCAGTTCTTTAGTGGCTGTTTAGTCTAGAACATTAAGTACTGTTGGTGATGACCTTATTTTAATTGCACCATGCTGATTTTGTAAAACAGTTTGGACACTGAAAAAAGCTTTTTAAAATTCTTGAATGTTTGTCTCTAAAATAGAATTGTGCTTGTTGGGCCCCACTCTGTAGTGTTCAGCAGAAGTTATGCAAGGAGCTTTGCATGGATGTGTGTTCAATTATGCATAGCATTTTCTGCACAAGCAAGGACCTTGCATGATCCTGATTACACACAAAGCAATATGCATACAGCTCCGCTTACACCTGATGAATGCACAGACATATGAACTGCGCACAGGCCAGCAAACAGCATGAAGATGGATAAGTGGAATATTCCAGTTGGTTGCAGCTATATGAATATCCAGTGTGGTGCTGGACAACTGCTGCAAAAACACAATTCTGTCATAAAACAGATGTTCTAAATCTGACTTGATCCTTTCTTCTACAGCACATGGATCTTTTTAGTCATGTCTGGAGAACACTAGATTTGGTAATTTGGTTCCTTTAAATGTGTGTTCCAGCATGAGCTGGAAGAAGAAGCATGACAGTAAGAGTGATGGTTACTAATGAATTTGGTCTTCTGACCCATAACTGAAGTCCATTAAGAAACAAAATGTGTGGTCTCAGTTCTAAACATATTGCAGTGTAGCTAAAATACTCAGCTGTGAATTTCACATTGTGCCAGCCATTCACTTGGAGGCCTTAGGCAACCTGTGTTCAATCAAAGGAGTGGGGAACCCTTTTCCTGACAAGGTCCTTGTTACCTTTCTCGAAACTTGACTCAATTCCAGCCACGAGTGCACTATAGCCAGAACCTGAAGCAAGCAGAGCCAGAACCAGATGTGGGAAGAGTTACCTTGCAATAGCAAGGACATTGGCTCCAAGGCATTCTTTTTCTCCAACTTGTGCAGGATTCCTCTCAGCAACAGAATAAATAGTAATAAATGTAATGTGAAGAGTGGACTTTGTAAGGAATGTGGAAAGAGGCAGGCAGGAGGCTTCTGGTCTCTGTTCTGTGTCAGCTGCCATATTTGCCATCCAGAGATAATTCTGACAGGCCTCACAGCAGTGACAGAATCCCATTCCAGAGAAGTTTTCAGGGACCATCACCCAGTGACAGTTGGGGACAAAGGCAAAAGGAGCATGGGCAAAAAGGCCAAAAAATGACAACGTAAAGCTCTAACTGCCAGTAACTAAGTCACAGAAGATGCTTTCCAATCGTTTAGAACAAGGAAAACTGCACAAAAGCTTGGAAATCACCAAATCACTTGGGGGAAAGGAGATGTGACTGGGGGACAAGGGGGAGGCTATTTGGGAACATCAGGAAGGTGAGATTTACACCTGGGCCTGAGGATCTGCACCCCTGCATTATAGGTTGGGTGTAAGGGTCACTGAGATCATATATGTGAACCGTTTTTATTACATTATATACATATACTAAGCACTATAATCAAACGAATGAATGAATGACAAAGTGCCTTGATGTCTTTTTCTTCAAACTTAAGTTTCTCTTCCTATTATTTCCCTTGCAGGTGGAAAGAGAAATGCTTTCTCGACGTGCAAAGCAAAGGCAGCGACATCAGGGCCCCTCCTTGAAATGGAAGCTTGCTAAATCTCCAGGCATGTCCTTCATCTGCACAGACCACCACTAAGGAGTATGTCTAGGATGTCCAAACTCGCCCTGTCACTGCTAAAGACGCTGAACCATAGACAATCACTGCCAAGCCCCTTTCTCACGATCATGGAGTTCCAAAACTGACACAACAAGAGAGCAAGAAGAGCATTTCAGAACTTCCCCAGTCAGCAGAGTAGCTTTTTATCTTCACCCCGCCTTACACTCCTACATTTGTAGCTCATATATTGTCAATACTGAGTCAGCAGCAAAATAGTTTGGCTGTGTTTGTTTTGCTTTGGCCAGGAAAATGCTGTAAGCCAGCGGCAGCTCCCATCCTGGCCTTTCACACCGAAAGACAGAATTAATTTGTTGAGGAGGGCACAATCAGTTTTTTAAATGGTGCAAAAGGATCAATCGTGGATTTTCAGCTTCTAAAATGAAAACTTGAATGCTTTTTATATCTTAGTTATTTCCTTGGTGTAGAGTTTTACTGTCTGAGCTTTTAAAGAAGCATTAAAATACCCCCTTTTTTAATAAAAGGAAATTCCTTTATTTCCTGCAGGAGAACAAACTATTTGGAGAACTGAGGCTTTTTTTCCTTTGGTTAACAGTTTGTAACATAACAAACTTTCATTGTATATGTGTGCTATAGAACCCTATAATACTAAACATAAAACCAGTTGATTACTAGCCCTGTTGATCCATGACATTTCCTGTGTCAAAGCACCACATTTCATCAGGACTGACTGCAGTGAGCAATCCTACTCACCTATCCTGAATTTCCTTGTAAAAAAGAAAAAAAAAGCCCAGCACTTGATTTATTATTACTTCAATTGTTCTGTATTTGTATCTGTTTTTGTTAGCCTGTTTAGTGGGATTTTATGCCAGTTGTTGAAATGAGCATTGATGTACCCATTTTTTAAATAGTTGAGGCACAGCCTTTGCCAAAAAATTGTCAACTGATATATATTTTGTCATTCCAGTTTGAGTTCATGTGCTGAGCATTTTGTTTTGTTTTTTAAATAAAAGCTTTGTAATAAAACTACAAAATACTTTTTGAGGGGCTGAGATGAGTTGTTTGATGCAACGTGTTTTATCAGCTGAACAATTCTTGGTAGCACACTTGCTTTCTGTGACTTGGTACCTTACGAACATAGTCCAGCAAAAGCTCATAATTAATCACGCAAACTCAGTGTAACTTAAGTTAGTCCTGGCTAAAGTCACAGTTTTACATACAAACTATGAACAAATTAAATGACTAACTTAATGGAATCAGGCTGCCTGTTTCATTCTGTTGCTTTAAATAGGATTTTAACTTCTGGATTGTATCTCAGGTCATCCAACATATTTACTTAGTCGTCACAGTGACGTGTCCGAGTATGTATGCTTTGATAGCAGAAAAGGCATTACCTTGCTGGGCATATTACCTAGTAGAATATGTACTACTAAACTAGATTCTTGCGTTTTTGTGGGAAGGAATGTAAATTAATTGTCCTTGATAGTGAAAAGATTTCAATTAAGTGAGATGTAATTTTAAAAATACCATGTGGTACAAATTTATAGCTTATTGTATAGGAAAATCATAATTTACTTCCTGGCTCAATTCATTTTGTGAATTACAGTTTACTGGTGTGTAGTACCAACCCATCTGGTGGAATTGAGTTGCTTACACCAAAGCACAACAGGTACATGCTTCTGGTATAAAAGGCCATGAAAAGGGCTGCATAGGGATGAGATTGAGGTGGTCTATTTTTACCAACATCTCTACAGCTTCACATTAATTACTAGTGATTACATGTAGTAGCCTAAAATGTGGCTGCAAGAGAAGGGTTGTGCTTATTTTTACTGGAAAGAGTGAATGTGGAGAGAAATGTATTTAACGTTGCTATTGTCATGGCCCATTTAAGTGCTGATTGCTGGCCTTTAAAAACAGTTTTGAGAGATGTTGTCTTTGCTTCCACTATTCAGCCACCTAGAAAGAGCACCTCTTTTGCAAAAACTTGGTCCAGCATGGACCGAGTTTTTATAGCAGCCATCTATGTACTTGGAAGCCGTAATATTTCATCACCTATTACAAGGTGAACAGAGTGCACTTTAATTGAACCCCAGGATGCAAAACAAAGAACATATTTGCATTTGTTTTACACTGAAAAATCTAGTGGGACTACATTTTTATCACTTGACTGAAACCATGGGAAATACTCTTATGGCTCTGAGAGATGTCAGAAGAGACATTTTTAACTTGAACTGTTTTCTAAACACTTTGTCTATTCTGGGGTTGGGCAACTTATGGCCTAAAAAATGCCATTAACCTGCACCAAAGGCTAGGCTGATGGATAGGCCAAAACATCTGGAGGCTGGCAAGTCACCCATCCATATCTTGTTTGATAAAGCAAACACAACTGTTGCTTTACAGGCAGAACTAGACTTTATATTCAGCAAAGCACTGCTATGAAAAAAGGGCTATCCTGTGTTAGGGGTTCTACCCCGTCTCTGACAGACATGGGCAAAGTAAAACACCGTACTGCATGGTGTACCACCTCTGTTCCATGACACCGGCTGCTGCTGGTAGGGAATCGTGACTCAAAAATGGTATAGGGCACAAAATGGCTCTACATACAGGAGCCATGTATCAACCACTAAATGTATTGTGCATTAACATGGAAAGAGACCAGTGAAGGAAATACCAAGTCTCCTCCTTTCTAAGCATATGCAGCTCCCAGCTGTGCCCTCACCCCCCTGCCATTTGTAGTATGTTTGCAAGCCTGTGATTGCACCCAAGCAGCCTGAGAAGAACTGCATGCAATTTGTAATACACCTGGCACCTGACTCAAGTTTGCAATGATAATGTTAAGCATGGGGGGGGGCGGGGGGGGTTATATCAAAAGTCATACCAGTTTAGGGCTTTGAAAGTTAACTCATTGGTCAGGCAGTGATTTTTTTTGATGCAAGAAGATGCTATGAAGTCACCATGGTCAGTTTACCATTACCAAATATGTTATGACAAAACGTAGCTCCACAGAGACAAACTTTGGCACTGAGACTAAGGGAGCCCAACAGATACACCACAAAAAGACTGAGCTATTCTTAAAGGTGCCATAGTCTGTCTAATTGTGTAAATACACATTCTCTCACACTAAAGATTTAAAAGATGTAATTTTCTAACTACATCTGGTATGTTTACTTGTATCAGGTTAATAGACATTAAAGTTTAAATGCGGAGATTAAATGTTAACCCTGCTAATGAAAATCTTAGCCTAAGAGCAAGAGCATTTTGCTGGCATGTATTTGCTGGAGTACGACAGCTAACTGGCCTCATAAAAAGTGGCCTTTTTAGTATAACAGTTACTTATCTGAGGCCAATACTACCTATTGCCCTAAGATGATCTTCATTTCTAAAAGAACCTTTTTTGGTCTGCCAGTGTAGTAGTCTTCCATGAAGTGAGGAAAAAAATAAAGAAGGCTAACTTGTCCAACTGGGAAGGACTTCAGCAGTACAGTGCTTCTCATCCACAAAGTATTTTGAGTACATGGAAAATTTCTTCTCTAGTTAACTGAATGTAGCTGAATTTAACTCCTCTAGTTAACTGACTGTCTAGTTAATTTATTCTCCTGCAGGACTTTTAACTATAAAAAAGCAGATTTTAAGAAACATTGACTGTCTGTATCTAATTTTCACGACCCACCATCATAAAAAGAAAAATATTATTGAACTGCAGTCTTGAACTGTATGTATAATTTCTGCAAAGCTATTGTGGTTTTCCTACCTGAGGTTCTAAAGGATATATAGGATACATTTCCATGAATTTACCACATTTATACACCAGAAGAAGCAGCAGGAAAGTGTTCCACCTAGAAAGTTAAGTATAAAATTTTGCAGTCAGTTTTTGTGGTAGAAGGCTTAACATGATGCATGGTAAAGTTAATTTTCTTAGTTCTCACAAGCACATGTCTGAGGATAAGTATATTCTTTTTTATTCCAAATGAACATCTTGTTAGTGACTGGACTGCTTGTTTGGCCCAAGATGCATCTTGTTTCAGGCATCTTTGTAAAACAGGAAGAGATGGTTTTCTGTCCCACTCATGAATTTGCCCTTGATGTGAGCCATAAGCTTTGAATTTATCTACCTCAGTAGTATCTTTAATTAAAATATGGTAATGCAATATTAGTAAAAGAAAGCATATTTGCATTATTTTATTTCTCTTGTGAACAAAGCCTAAACACTTTGATGAAATAATAGCCTTGTGCATATAGTTTTACGAGAGTTGTAAACATAAGTAGTTAGATCTTTTTCAGTGAATGAAAACGAAAATGAATAAGCCAGGTCTGCAAGGAACTCTTCAAACCTCTGCTTCCTTAACAAAGGCGTCTTTCTAAAAAAAAGCACCAAAAATCAAAAGGACTAAAGGTCTACCTTCAGTCCTCACATAATTGTTTTATATCTATGCCACTTCCATTTTATATAGTATAGGTAACAGGCATGCAAGCTAAGCGCTGAATACCTAAGATAACAGAATATAGGACTTTACACCAATGCAAGCAAATTGGCACTGAATAAAATGCCACAGGATGACAGGCAAACTAGTGACAGATTAAAAGCCATGCTGTCATACTGCCACCTAGTGGACAAAAATCAAGTAAATTAAAGCAAGGCGTACTACCGTCAGACACTATTGGGATTATTTTATTTGGATTAAAATGTCTGACACTTTAACAGGTTTTTACAAACCCATGAACTCAGACCCATGTGATCCTTGACATAGCTTCATGAACCTGAAGAAAGGCACTTAAGAATGTAAACCTCAAAATTGCAGATCTCAAGGAAACAAATCATTGGCTACACAAAACTGATTATCTTAGAGACTGTGCAATCGAAATGCACAGCTGTTTAAAGCCCTGATTAAGCAGCACTTCATGTAAAGTAAGAAAACATCAAGGGGCATGAGGGCTTTCCTTTTCTTCAGGCAGGAAAAACACAGTACACTGCAAAGTTCACTTGTGTTTGTAAAATCCTTCTCCAGTCTTCTTCCCCAGTTTCTTCTCTGCTACCAATTGATTCAACAATGGGCTTGGAGCAAAGAGAGGGTTGTCTGGTTCTATTGAATGCCACCCTGACAAGAGAGGAAAAAAGAAACAGGTGCCCATTATGTAAAAAAACGGTAACTTATCACAGATGCTTCTGAATTTCTCAACTCTTCAGTCACAAGGGGTATTCGGTACTGGAGGGGAAGCTAATTCCTGTTCTAATCCCTACAGAAATATTGCAATTCTATTCAGCACTCTCATTCAAAACATCCAGCACAGAACAGGTCCCCTCCTTCCTTCAATCTTGACACCCACGTTTAAAGAGATGTTTGAGACAGGACTTAGTGTTTCCGATGTTATACAGGTCCCTAAGTCTGCAGGGCAACACCATGACCCTCACCCTGTAAACAGGCTGCGCAACAATTTAAAATAAGCTATCTGCCACACTGGCCACTGTGCAGGTATGAATTTGCCATGAGACTTTCTTACGGAAGGACTGTATGTATTTCTACACCATGCGTGAAAAACCTCAGGACAAGAGGCCAAACTGACCTCTGTGGGGTTCCACAAATGACCACATCCCCCTGTTAAAATTTAATTAAAAAGTAACTGGAAAAAAAAATGACCACACCCCCATCCCCAGACCCCACCTCATTTCCCCAACCTCCAAGTACCTGATGATTTTTTGACTTTTGTGCCCCCTCTACCTGCTGGCCATTCTAAAAGGTTGAAATGTGTCTCCTAAAATGGTTTTCTGGCAGTAAGATCGCTCGGCTGAACTATGCTCACATTTTTGGCCCCACCCCTTCTACCTTTGCCCTTGGTCACTACTTGGAAAGGGCCCTCCAAAGCTTCTCTGAAATGCGATACAGCCCCCATGCTGAATGAGGCTCTGCATCCCTGCTTGCAAGCTATGAGCAGCCATGGTGATGACAGTTTTGAAACAGTATTCAGATGAAGTTGGACCGATAAAGCAGGGACAGGCATGTTCTGTTACGCCTGGGTACACATGACTACACTTCAAGACCCTGATTGGTGGTTCACTAAAGGTCTCCCTAAAAGAGAGACTGTTCCAACCCATTTATCTCTCTGGATTCTTCAAGGAAACAGCAAGCATAGAGTACTAGTCATACTCCTATCACAGAAAGCTACACACAGAAATAATGACTACCCTCTGCAGTACTGAAGAAGAAAGAAGCCCTTTCTTTCTCCCAGTGATAACAGAAATGGAGTTAGACGGAGCTGAATATTCACAAAAGAGCAGTGGTTGCCGTGGGAAAGCTCAGTGTACCTCCTGCAAGTTGGGTGTTCCTTTGCATTTTTCCTTAGATAGTAGGAAAACTAGCACTTTAAAAAAGACTCAGCGGAAACTCATCAGGAAAATATACACACCATCCATAATATATTTACTGGTATCCAAGCCAACATAGTCCAAGAGTTCAAATGGGCCCATAGGATAGCCTGCCCCAAGCTTCATGGCGATATCAATATCTTCCTTTGATGCATCCCCTAGAGGAAAAAAATGGACAACCAGATTAGCAAAGATCAGCATCTAGGCTCTCTTTTATGACATGAACTTCATGCAGCTTATTGCGGAGTCATTTGCACTTCATGGACTCAGAAACATGGCAGGTTTCATGAACACCATGCCCACTATGGATACGGGACACCTAGCGAATCGGACTAATAATTTTGGCTTCACCGTGATTTTGGACAGAGAACAGTTGTGCATGCAGAGCCTGCTGTGATGCCTGCAGTTCAACAGACACCAGCATCATGGTTATACACTTCAGGCTCTCCTGTCTCCACCAAAGACAGCAGAATACACATGGCAGTGATGTCTGCATGGACATGGTCACATGCATTCAGCCTGCAAGAGTGAAAGTAAAACCAAGAAGGTCTGTCCACATGAACTGAGCATACATTCAAGAGTTAGGCAGAAAGCAGAACTCAGGTTGTTTTGGACCAACTCCCAAAAGCCCCTACGAGCATGGGTGGTGGTCAGGAATACTAGGCCTTATTAAAAAGTTGCAAGTCCAAAACATCTGGAGTTCTACCTTCTTCCCAACCTTGTTTTAGAAGGTAAGTTTTCCAAGTGTGGTCCACAGATCACCAAGATCTACTGAGATGTATTGAGGTGATCCCAAGAAAAGTTGTTTACAACTTTACAAAAGCAAGTACATCCCTGCTGCTAGAAAGATACAGCCACAGTTACTAAAATGTAACTGATTTATAGAAAAAAGGTAGGCAACCTGCCTATGAAAACACTCCCCTCCTTGCAGGATAGAGGGTAGTTTGAGTACCACTTCTAGTTTAGAACACAGCCCAGAATAAATGCACAGAGACCCTACTGGGAATGCACAGGGACCCTTCTTCATCAACCACAATGCCAGTAAAATGTTCTCTGAAAGTGGAAAGTCTGAAGAAAGTTGTGCTAGAACTTCTGCCCTACTGTTTTTGGGGGTGAGGGGCACATGGGGCCGAAGGAATGACCATTTCATCTGCAGAGGATTCCACAGGGATTCAGCCTATCCTACTGAAACAAAATTTCAGTTAGGGCACAAACAATGAAAACCAACCAGACTACAGTAAGAGGGCCTGCCTGTTTCCTGAAAGATACATTTTAATACATTTTTCCAACAAGTTTTTAAAGATACTAGTCTTCAGGGACTTTTAAAAGCCACAACAAAAATTGAAATCAGGACGTAACTATTGTGGGGGATGGGGGAATCATTTTAAAAACATAATGGAAAAAGCAACATCTAGATTTTCATGAATGTAAAATTAATAGTTGCATGTTTTATGCATTCAAGAAGGCAACATTTAGCAGAAACGTATTATATGGTGATAATTTAGACAGAATGGAAGTTGTTTGCACAGTGCCACTCCTTTGCCTTTTTTTTTAAAAAACACACCCTAATTTGTTCTTATTCTGCCTTTGAGGAATAATTAGCGATATTTGTTGATGGATAAGCAAGAAGTATGATTAATTTTGCTTCACAAGCTGACAACACTTTTATGAACTACAAAGGGAGCTTTTAATATTTAAAATATATTTACCAAGATCTTGATAATGGAGGCCTTTCATCTGCAAGGGAAGGCAGCTTTCCAAATAAAATGTTTGAAATAACATTCTTAATAGCAGACAGCCATGAAAGGGGGCTTAAGTCTGAACAGTTATACGAAGTAAATTTCTCTTTAAGTCTTCATGCAGCAAGTAAGCTTCCTTTGAAGAGGACAGGGCTTATTTCAAGAGTTAACTGGCTTCAAGATTTGAAAGACAATAACAATAATAATTCTCCATTTCCGCCAACAATACCACCAAACAGTATCCAAGAAGGAAACATCCAGTATTTGTTCTACCAGCCAATCCACCATGTTCACCATTCCTATGGCATTAAGCGGTCTTCTTCCACTCGCTTTTTCTGGTGAGCCCCTCTTCATTCTCTGAACCGCTGTAGTGGCAAACCATGGCCAGAGAAAAGACTGCTAGTCTCTTGCTTATGTTTCAAAACATTTCACTACTCCGTGACTAGGTCCAGACAATAGGAGAATCTATGCTCAAGGACTGAGTATAGGTTGTCACTGAATCATGGGTTGCTGAAACATGGGTTGTTGTGTTGTCTGAACTGAGCTGCACTAACAAGCCATAGCTTGTGATGCATGAACAACCCATGAACAGGATCCAGGGTTTGTTGTTGGTTGTGAAGGGCAGATTGTTCACCATGGTTTGTAAAGATTCAGACAACACAGTAGCTCATATTTCCACGACAACCAACATTCAACAGCAACTTATACTCAACCCTTGTTATTGTGAACACAGTCAAATATACTTTTGTACTACTCGAGAGTATGGAAACATAGGAAGCTGCCTTTTATGAGACAGGGCATTTGTCCATTGAGCTCTGTGTTGTCTACACTGACTCTGGTTTCCAGAGGGAAGATGTTGATGCCTGAACTGGAATTGCATTTCAAGAATGTACTCTGCTGACACACGGCCCTTCCTTTTTTAATTTTTTTAAATTTTTCTTAACATAAACAACACACAAAAAGAAGAGAAGTATATGTAAAATAAAATAAAATTTCCAAGGGATATTAAACAAGTACAACCAATACAGTCAAACCCACAAATTGATCTATCTTTCTATCATTCAGCACTCTATGGGAGTTCAGAAATGAAGTTATTATTCTGTACACCAAAAATTTTCCAGTCGCTTTAAGACAATTATCGCTCCCCAGCTACTTTTTAAAGACCTTTTACATCCTATTAATAATAATGAGTATAATAGAATTTCCATTTGTCATTAAAGCTCTTCCCCTTTTAATGATAAGCAGTATTTGTGTTGTGGTCTTCATGCAACACAAATGCAATTCTAGTCTACACTACTGAAAAGGCAAATATTGCAGAAAGGATGGGATCGGGCAGGTTGCGCTGTTGAGGGTTTCCACTCGTTGGGCACTGGACTTGAGGGTTAGCATAGCTCTTCCGAGAACCAACTGTCCTCTTTCCATTCTACTCATGGAGGAAGGCAAGTCTCTTTCCCCACAACCAGCAAGAAAATGCTGCAGGGGGAGGGAAGGGGCCGTCATCAAGTTGTCTCTCCCTTCCATCCATTTTTTTCACACTAGTCTGCTAAGAGATTACTAACCAGTATTTCCATGTTGGCTTCTTAGCAGATGAGTAAAACATTTCACAGGCTAGTAACTTTTATGGGCTTACAAGATTCCAATAAAGTTTTTTCCCTCCTTTTAGTAACACCCCCCACAGAGGGGATGAAATTGCAGAACAAACATGGGAGAGGGGAAACATTACATTCTACCCCCTCCCCACAAGCATCTTGGTCCATGGCTGACTCAAGGCTACCTACACTAGTCTAGCTCTGTTGGCCATGCTTTGATGAGTGTGTAGGCTGACCCTGCGTAAGATTCTTTTTGCCTCTATCTACTATTGGAACATATAAAAACATGTAATGGGTTTGGAAGATTACTGTGCCTCCAACTGCAACTTGGCATCTGCCAGTTTAATGAAAATGATAATTATAGATCCAGTCCTAAATATTACCACTAGGATGCAATTTATCTCCCCACTGCCAAAGGATAACAAGTTTGCTTCTGGAAACAGGGATGGCAGAATTTTTTAAACATTTTCTTATGCTGAATTACAAAGTAGAGGCAAGTTGAAATGTTTCTGAGCACACCAGAAGCTAAGGAGTACTTCTGGATTGTGGCTTGGCAGACTCTGGTGACCAGTTGGCATCAGGATGCATAAAATGGCCATCTCTTTGCTCCATGTTGCATTTTTAACATGAGACCACAGGGAATAGAGAAACAACACTGCTCATACGCTACACAAGGCAGAGCAAAATTTGAAAAGGGACTACATAGGTCAGAATACTAACCCCAATCCTTAACTCAAGCTCCTTGACTGTGAAAACCTTTCCACCTGATCAGATAAAGGTCCCATCACTGGACAGCTCTTTGTCATTGCCACACGTGTGCCCACCTCAAACTTGAGTTTGCATAATTCAACTGTAGACAGGAACAGCCACACATTGTGACTCCTCGGGAACAAGACACTGCAGTACCACAGAACAGGCCATCAATATCCTACACAGTTAAGCACAACCCATCTATACATTATTCAAAGACCACATGAGCCGTTTCTTTAATACATGCAGGAATTCCCTCATGCATGCTGTTTGGGATGCACCGAGCCAACTTCTCCTTATAAAAGTGCAGAGGAAGCAGCTGCCACAGATCGTATTCATTTGTGTGAGCACATGCCTATGTGCGACAGTTTCCCAGAAGGGCAATGAGGAGTCACATTGGTCATGATGACGAACAACTGGGGTCTGGCTGCTGCCTAAGAGTGCCGAAGTCGCATGTTTGGGCCCCGGGACAACTCACATCCCAAAACTAGTCCAACAAAGGGTCTAATTAATTCAAAAGGCAGCTTGGGTTTCAGTGACGCACCAAGGAAAAGGGGTGGTGAAGGTGTGGGCATCAAAAACTAGGACTGTGATTTTTCCCCTACTCTTCACTCAAAAATTTAAACACATGCCTATAAATCTCTACAAATCTAAAACTATAACAGCAATTATTCCGCAGACATTGGACATACTGGGTTGACATCTTACTTTTTTTTTTTACAATCAATAACCATATTCAGTTCTACATATAGTCCCGTTTCTCTAACCAATAATAAAAGGAATTCCAAGTTTGATCTCTCATTACTTTTTTCGTAATTCACGGCTCCTGATCTTATTGCCTAATTTTACTTTTAGCCTAATTTACAGTTGCACTGTACTTTTAGTATTATAAACCAGTGGGGTATCTTGTACATAAACAGATTATATATTTTAAAATAAATATATATTAAAAGTACCCCTCTCAAAAAGCCGAACTGCTTCCATCAGGTAAGGCACAAGGAGCCTGTTGACAATAAATCCTGGAGTGTCCTGTGAATAGAAAGACAGGCATTAGAAGTAGGTATTAAAACTGCAGTATTATTTGAAAAGGATAATAGGATCCTTTAAGGATGCCTTGCCCAAACTGGTGCCTTCCAGATGTATCAGGCAACTTCATGAGTTACATATATTATTACTTTATGTGTTATATATGTTATCTTGTAACTTGGAATGCAGGCTTCCATTATTATCCCATTGTTGTGATGGGGAAGAAGACTGGAACTCAACAGAAACAGATGTGCCTAAGTCCAGACTCAAACCAGGGACTTTCCAAGCTCATTCTCTTTGCTGCTACCTTAAACCAGTTTATCTCACAGAGATAACAGTTACTTTGCCAAGACAAAGTCTACAATTCTATTTGTTTCTTCCCCTTCTGCCTCCTACAAGCTTCTTGTAGACTAACCCAGCCTTCTTCAACATGGTATTTGCCAGAGATTTCTGACTTCAAATCCCATCAATCCCAGCAAGCACAACGATCAGGAATACTGGACACTATATTTCAAAACAGCTGGGGAGCATCAGGCTGGGGAACAAAGGCTGAACCCAATAGGATAAAAATGTGTAATTAGCCTCGCAGGGGAGACAAAATAGCTACACTTTTGGTATGTAGTGATATAGGGCAGGGACTGCAAGTGGGGTAGTGGTTTAAACCGCTGTGCTGCTGGGCTGGTTGGTTGATCGAAAGGTTGCCGGTTCGAATCTGCACAATGGAGTGAGTTCCCAATGCTCCATCCCAGCTCCTGCCAACCTTGCAGTTAGAAAGCATGCAAATGCAAGTAGATAAAAAGGTACCACTTCGGTGGGCAGGTAACAGCGTTCCGTGCACTTTGGTGTTTAGCCATGCCAGCCACATGACCACGGAGACCGTCTGCGGACAAACGCTGGCTCCCTCGGCTAGGAAACAGAGATGAGCACCACCCACTAGAGTCAGGTATGACTGGACTTAATGTCAAGGGGAAACCTTTACCTTTAGTGATATAGGGCAGCAAACCTTTCAACAGAAATATTTCATGGCCTATGTTTATTAGTACCAATGACTGGGTGCCAACTGCAAATACAGTGAGAGGAAAGCCTTCTAGTTTCAAAATTGTAATGGTGGAGGTGGATTGCCAATAAGGCAATCAGGTCCAACGCTTTGCTCAATGAGGACTCCAAGTTAAAACTTCCCTAATAGATAGATGGCTGTCCAGCTGTATCTTGAAGGCCTTCAGTTTGGAAAAGCCCATGACCTCCCTAGGGAATAGTTTCCATTGTTGCAGTGCTCTAGTAGCCAGAAACCTTTTTCTTGACATTTAACTAGAATTTGGCTTCCTGTAACTTGAGCTTATTATTCTATGTCCTGATGGGAGACCCTGGTGCTCCTTTGTGTGACACTCAAATACTTGAAGAATGCAAAGTGCTTGAGGACTGCAATATCCCGATAACTTCTTAAAAATGTTCCATTTCCTACCAAGCAAAGCAATTATTTTCTATTTAGCTAAAAAGGGTGGGGTCATAATATTAAAGCAGAAAAATTCTCACTGTGACCAAGTTCCAAGCTTTCTGCACCTACCTGCATAGACCTCCCTCTCTTAAAGGTACTTGCCTTGCATGCCACAGGGTTCTTCCCTAATGCTTTACTGAAATCCATCAGTGACTCAAAAGTCTTCTGGCTGGTCATTGGTGCCTTGACAACCTAGCAAGAAAGACATCATCAAGGACTGTGTCTGGGAGGAGAGGGGAACATCATTCTCTGCGTCAACAATGCTATCCTTTTTCATAAAATAACCATTACAGAAGGAAGACTGCCAGCTAATGAACAGACAAGCTGCACTTTATTTCATCCACATCCAAGCAGACAAGGCACATCTATTGTTTGTTACAGTCATACTCTGACTTTTCTCCACCTGCAAGGAACCCAAGAGGGTTCAAATGGTTTTCCTCTTCTCCATTTTATCCTCACAAGCACCCTGAGAGGTAGGTTATGTTGAGAGTCACCCAGTGAACTTCATGGCTGAGTAGGGACTAGAGGCTGGGGCTGTATCTTCCAAGCCCCAGCACAACACTCCAATCACTGCACCACACTAGTCCTTGCACACTCCTCCCTTTGCCCTTCTCTTAGCTATTCAGATATGCTAAGAGTAAAGGTGAATTAGCTACAGAGACAGGCACACAATGCTGTTATACCTTCGCAGCTTCTTTAAAGGTATACAACATTTCTAACAGGCTAAATTGTTTGTAAACAAATTAATGGTGGTCGATCAAAGGCTATCTGTTGTGATGGCTCTGTGCTTCTGTGCAGGCTCAGAGGAGAAAAGAGGAAGCTTTTATAGCCTCGTGTTGACTTTCTGTAGGCATCTGACTAGCTGTGGGGGGAATTCTGGTGCTGGACTAGATTGCTCAGTTCTTGCAGGGCTCTCCTTCCTTTTTAAGTAGTTAGGTCTGTCTGTAGTACTTGGAGGTGGTGAAGGTAATTTTTACCTTGGTTCCTGAAATCAAAAGTTGAGTATCAACCAGACCTACAGTCTACAAGACAATTTCTTGGAGGCAGCTTAAGGGGTTATAGAAGGTGCTCATCCAGCAGTGGCTTACGGGATTCCATTCATTTCTGATTCTCTTCCATATCGCTACACCTGAGCCAAGCCATCATGAAACTGGCTGAGAAGTTACACCACTCTTTCACAATTTAAAACAGAATCAGTAGCAAGGACACATTGACAGGCCCCTGGGTAGCCTTCTGCAGGTGCCCCACAAGCTGCTATTCCATGTACGTTTCTGTTCCAGATACATGTTTTACCTTTTGATGGATCAACACAATGTGCAAGATGGTTTTCCAATGTCTTTCGAATATTAACTGGTTTGGGGATGGAGTTTATGTGTAGTCAGAATATTAAATATTTTTTATTTGTCTTTCAAGATGCTGCCAACCAAATGGAGAACCAGAGAGAAGCTCAGCTTTGACCAATAGTACATTAATCTCTGTAGCATGAATGTTACAGAAAACACACACAGGAAATGCAAGTGCTGACTAGTTTGGATTTAACATTTTCCACAGTGAAATCCACTACAACCTGCCTGTCCAGCACCCTAATATAAATGGGCATTATTTTTATTCTTGTACCTTCCTCACAGGCTGGGGGTCAAAGAAAAGGGGAAAACGTCTCCTGCTTAAGTATCTGTAGCATCTGTCCTACTTAAGAACTGCTCAAAGGTACCAAGTGCAAGTTAACTCAAGGCTACACTTTGTCCACTTAATTATTCACATTATAATATATAGAAAGAAGATAAGATAGCACCAGGGATAATCACTGACCTGACATAATAAAGCTGCTCCACTTCTAAACATGAGATAAAAATTTAAGAGGGAGCCCTCCTTCTTGTAAGCACTGCTTACAGAGCAGTGGTCGAAGAAGGCACACTCACCACAGTTCAGCAAAAGAGTTAGATATGCTCAAGTTTCACTGACTTCAAGATACACTTGGATTCCCCTTAATATGTTAAACTAGCTGTAGAGGGGCAGAAATACAGGTGGATACAGATTTCATGGCACAATTACATTCAGGTAACATCGTGCCATCTGCTAAACTGGAGTTCAAGCAGCTAACTCTATGGTGCTGCTCAAGTCGTACATTTATTGATTTATCATTATTATTATTCATTTATATACCACCACATTAGCTAAAAAGTCATTATAAGGCAGTGTGCAGTAATTTAAAACATTAAAATGCTGCAATATCCATTCAAGCTGTCATCTATTAGCAGCCAGGCCTACAAGTTCAGAGGCTCTTTAAAAGGAGGTCATAATTAAGAGTTACTTTCCAATGGGTTTATTCCAATGCTAAGACAACGTTTCTAAAAGCCCACGGTCATGGGGGTAGAGTTGCTTGTGCAGGTCTTGCACACAGAATCTCCTCTCTTCACATATATGATTTCAGGCCTTTAAGCTTCACATCAGAACCTATGGAATGATGAAGCCATGAAAAATACTTCCTATGATGCTCCTGGAAAGGGTACCTATAGCAAACATAGTTGAATAGCAAACTACTGTCAGTACCTTTATTTTACAGCGCTCTAAAATCTCCCTGTCTGGCACACTGAACTCTTTAGTAACAAGTCATCAAAAATATGACAGTAGAGAACCTCCCCACCCCCGCTTTTTTAAGGTAATGCCAGCCTAGAGATGTTTCCCTACCTCCTTTCCTCACATGGTTCTGAAGTAATAAGCAGATTTGCTTTTGTGCACTTATTTTTTTCCTATGTGCTTTTGTCAGACATAAAATCCTGCCCACAGATGTTACACAAGGAGGATCTGCAATTAAGTGTTGCAGTTTATCCTTCACATACCAGGAATGCTCTGTTTTAGAGTTCTGGTTGGCCAGCCACAGCTATTTCCAAGATGCTATAAGGAATTCAAAGGAATTCAAGCCAAGTATTCCACTTTCTCCTACCCCTCAACACTGGACTGTCGAAGGTACTTTTAAAAATTGCTGTACCTCTGTAAACACTGGGGTTGCCCTTAATGTCCTTATTTTGGCTCCAACTCTGCTGGTACTGACCATCCATCAGGGCTGACCCTTTCATGAAGCAAAGAATGAATTCCCCACACCAGGCAATGGGTTGGCCAGAGCAGTGAACATCACGTTCCTGTTCTCCACCAAAGGACCTGCCCCCGCACAGCCAGATGCTCTGGGGAGCTTCACTGGCTGCTTTCCCACCCCCACCACTGCACAGTGGGAAAATGGAGCCAGAAGAGCGGTCACCTTCCCAGCAGCACATAACAGCCAGTGGTCCAGAGAACCCTGCTGGCCTCCACTTTTGGCAAATGTCGCAAGGAACAAGAGAGAGAGAACAAGCGACAGGGCTTTCTCAATCAGCCATCCATCCTCTGGGTTGCCCCAAGGATCCCCTCAGAGCTAACCAGAGGAGGGGCAGGCTCTTTCAAGCACAGCACCAGCTGGAATAAATGGCCAATGCAGCTCCTCTGCAAGCTGGGCAAGCCCAAATGCATAGTTCCGAGGGGCTCTTTTTTCAGAGTCCCTGACGGATGGGTGTCCCAAGCACTTCTAGGCCCTTCACACCCTAGATACCACCTAACTGGCAGCAAGTAGGGAGAAGCTCAACAACATGTATTCATCATCACACTTTTTTTTTTTGGAATACTGTCAGATCCTCTTACCTCCACCAGTTTCATCATTGGCACTGGATTAAAGAAATGCAGGCCACCGAACCGGTCCTGCCTGGTGGTAGCATTGGCAATTTCTATGATTGACAAGGATGAAGTGTTGCTGGCAAATATTGTATGCCTGTGGAGGAAATAATACACATTTTCTGTCAGTTGCAACTCCATCTACTGTTGATCTACTGTTTTAGTAAAAGTGCTTTCTTCATGTGCTCTCTTGCAGGCAAGAGACTGAAGACTGAGCATGCCTCACACGAAAGACGGAAAAAGCTGCATCAATACAAAACCTGGATTTCAATACCCGTTGCCTTTTATCACAAAGTGGATTGTAAGGCTTTTAACTATAGTAGGGATACTTAAGCCACAAATTTTGTTGGAAGCTTTTTAGGTCAGGTGTGGACACACTACTGGAGATTCACTCTTTAGACATGCAGCAGATTGTATGATAGGAAGTGCGTATAAATGGTCCCAAAACTGCACTAACTGTGGAATTAAAAGGGTGCCTGTAGACCAGGGTGGACAACTGCACAAGTCTAGGGCATTTTCACCCCTGGAGCCCTTGCAGCACTCCGTTTTTTAAGCCTACAGATAAGTGGTGTCCTGCCCAAAAGCAGCAAACCACACCATAGCACTAAGAAGGTTAAATTTAACTTCCTGTTCTTCTGTGCTGCCAAGTAATCGTCAACTTATCAAGGACCCATGAATGAAAGCCCACCAATTTGTCCTGCCCTGGACAGCCCTGCTCAGCTCCTGTAAACTCAAGGTTGTGGCTCCTTGACCTCTTAAAGACCTCTTAAATCTCCAACAACGTTCAGTGTTGGAGAAGAGCATCTATATAGTGTACACTTTTAGAGTTCAGGTTTTAGCATACGACTAGGACTAGACATAGCTGAAGTATCACACAAGTACTCTTAAAATCTATTCCCACAGTTGCAGCACCACCTAGTGGGATATATAACCAGAATAGAAAAAAATATTGTGGTCAAGTTTCATTGCTCATTTCTGCTTCATCAATGCCCACACATCTGTTGTATGTGTTTATAACTGTTTATAACTGTTTCATAAACCTGTCATCCATCCATTAACATGAAACAATTCTATACAGTGACTTGTCATAACAGAAAATTAAGAGGTTCCAACCCACCAGAAATAAGCGGGTAGAAAGGGTAAATTCAAACCTATTTCAGCAAGCTGGGAATAGATTTGTGTCACAATCCAGTGGTGATACCTGTAAGCCTTTGGACATATGGGCATCCTAGGCAGGGCAGGAGAAGCCCTTAATGTGATCAGCACATTCCTGTTCCTCTGCAAGTCAGCCAGTTTGGAAAGCCCATTATCCCTTCTCTAAGGTTGTTCTTTCAACCTCAAAAAAGCAGCTGGCATTGTTTGATGGAACTATGGACTTTGAGAGGTCTGGATTCGAGTGTGGATCCTCTGCACAAAGGTCATAGCTCTTTTTCCAGTCTTGAATCCAGGAAGCAAAGAATCCAATGCCCCACTCAATGTCTTGTAGGGGCCTAGGATCACTTCGTTAATGTAAGATCTAACCATTTGCTGAAGCCGACTAACAAGAACTTTGAACTGTGGATTAATGTTTACCGCAGGATTAATCCAGGGCTGATGAGCAATGACTGGGAAGTTTAGAGGTGTCGCTGCCATGCAGGCTGTACAGAACCTGTCTTAAAATATTTTCATACTCTTCAAAGTTATCCTTCTTAAAAAGCAGTGGTCATCTTTCCCCGAGATACTGGTTGTGGATGTGGGGCAGGGAGCACATCCCTTGAAATGGAGGTTTTCCTTTATAAATCTATTACAAACTCTTACAAACCAGAGATTTTAAAAATATTTTAGTGAGAAACTTGTGAACAGCTACTTGCTTAGTCATTAATTAATTCAGGTTGCTTTCTTCTTTAAAGACAATCCTCATAATAAGCTTTGAAAACTGTAAACTGAGGCAAGAAGGGATGACTGCTGTGGATGGTATGATCTTTCTTCTGTGGAAGAATGCTTCAGGTGGTCAAACTGCCTACAAATATGCACAAACAGCTTCTTCAGATAAGCAGTGGAAAACTCGTAGCCGGCCTAATGCTTGGTCTACAATTTTCATTGGCCCTAGCCAGCATAGCCAATGGTGAGGCATGATGGGAGCTGTAGACTAAAACATCTGTGGGGGCACAAGGTGGCCACCCCATTGCAACGCATCCCCTCCCCTGAAACTCCATTTTGTGTTCCTGTTTTCCAATGGATGCCCAAGATTCAGTGGCAGCTACACATGCACAAACTGAATAACTTCCCCAAACCTCAGAGTTCCCCTGAGCATGCTGACTTGTCCCCATTGTTTTTCAGTGGTCCTGTTTTGGCTATATAGCTGACAGTACCCACCACCTGAATTTGCTACTAAAAGAAGAGAAATAAAATGATGTGCAAAATTTACCACTTTAGAATATGCCTAGATTCTGCTCATCCCCTCTCCCAGACTGAAGCCTATTTAGTCAATTCTTTTATCAGTCTAGAAAGACTTTTCTGAAAACTCTGCTCATTTAAAGACATGATTCTTCAGAACCTACAGTGGAGATTAATCCTCTTTGGCATGAACAGTTGGAAGCATGGGTGGGACATTACTTCAATAATTTATTGGAGATGGCACTTTGGTATAGAAATATCTTTTTAATCTTTGCCCACAAGCAGAGAATTGCTCCACCTTCTTTCCCTTCAGAAGTTAATATCTTCACTCAGTTCTTAAGCCTCTTCCAATGAGCAGAGTAGAAGGATCTTCAAATGATAACTTTATCACACAAAGATCATTATGAAATTATGATAAGCTCCCAAAGTTTGCTGTAGAATGGAGTCTTTATATGAAATGCTTTATTTGGCAGCATCTCAGATTGGCCAAGAACTTCCAAGAGGATTACTTTTACCCACCATGCCACAAAATCTTGAATTAAAGGCTAGCAAGTTAAAAGAAGTACTTACTTCACCATACAAGAAAAGCATTGTAAATTATTGAAGCACCTCAGTATGATCAGAGAACTATACTTATTTCCAACTATCCTTTGAAACATGTTATATACATCTCAACTTTTAAAGCCTGCCCAATTTGCTTCCACTTTGCATTTATTGCTAGCATGATTACACTTTTAGTCCTCAGGGAAGCAGCAAAATTCAATAGCCAAAAGACACCATAATTCAAATCAAAAGTAAAGGATGTCTATATTTTCTATAGTTTTCAACTCTACTCATTCCCAATTAATTTACAACATTTGGCTTGTAAGAGATGGATATATTTTAAAATGTAAATAAACACCTGTGCTGCAAAACTCCAATATGAAGTGGCTTTTTTCAGTATCCAAGAGAGAGACAAATGCTGATAAGCATGGTAATACTGAACAGTATAACTTCTGTATAGCCTGAAGTGTCTAACCCTGCCTAATTTTGGAAGCTAAGCAGCGTCAGACCTCATTAGAATCTGGATGTATGATTCTATGATTATTGTTCTAAGCTTCAGCTACAGGAAATATAGAAAAGTAATAATAGTAATAGTAATAGTAACAGCAACAAACAACACCACCTTGGGAGATCAGGGTTCTCTCTGGGTGACTTTGGGCTAGACAAAGACTCTCAGCCTAATCAACTTCACAGGATTGTTGTGAGGATAAGACTGAGAGGAGGAGGAGGAAGATTATGTATCTTCTTGGGTATGAAAACATATAAAATGGCAATATTTTATATGTATTATGGTGGCCTCTGAGGATGGAGGCTCTCTCCAAAACATTGGGAAAGAGCCAAAAAATAAACTGCCACTCACATTCTCTTGGCAGATGTTCAGCTTGGAGAAGAGTGGGAGATTTTTTCTCCAGCACCCTTCAAACTAAATCAGGAGAATACAGTGGATGGGATGGAATCAATCTAATACAAATCCATATCTTAGTGCGAGCAAGATAACAGGAGTTTTCTGCATTAACTTTGCAGGATTTATAAGCACATACTCTGGTGCAAACTTATCTAGCGTCTTGAAGAGTTCACTTTTTGTTGCTAGGTTTTCCACGATGGCCTCCACTACAAGGTCAGTACTATGCACTACAGAGACTGGATCTGTGCTTGTGGTCAAATTCTTTAAAGTCTTCTCAATGAACTCCGTTCCAGCCTAAAAAAATTAGACAAAGCAACAAAACCTATAAAATCACAGATTATAGGAAGGATTCCCATTTCATCTAGAACAAGCTTTTCCAACAATTACATCCATGTGTTGTAAAATGTTATTATGAGCCTGTTATTTATTTAAAGTTTTTATATGCCGTCCCCATTGCTACATAGCCTCGGGACGGCTCACAACAACAAATAAATAAAACAAGTAGAATTACAATTCCAATTAAAACTTGGAAACACACTGGCTGCATAATTAAAACTATAAATATTAAAGATTATTAAAATACTGTTTGAATAATAAGGTCATGGCCTGGCACCGAAAAACAAATAACGATGGTGTCAGGCGGACCTCTCTGGGGAGCGCATTCCACAGATGGGGCAGAATGGAGCGCATTCCACAGTTATGTGAATCATGTACCTCCCCTCAAAAATAACTTAATGCAAGGAAAAGCAAACAGCCTTATTAGCCTGCTGACAGATTTTGTCTGTCACTTTTGCTCACAAAATAAGTGCCCAAATTTTACTTCTGGAGGAAGACACCACAATAGCTGCTGCATAGGAAAGTAGTACCAATTCCAACCTGGCTATATTCTTCCTGTAATGTGGAGCCCACAACTGAACACAATACTCCAGTTGCAGGCACGCCAGAGTCATATAGTGTGGCAGTAATACCTTTCGCGAGCTAGAAGCAATGCTTCTGGCTATGCAACCAAAGGTGATAATCGCCCTCTTGACCACTGTGTCACCCTGCTGACTCGTGTTTAGCCTTGCAGTTGACCAGTACCCTGAGATCCCTTTTAGAAGTGCTGTTCTCCAGTCACTTGTCCCCTAACCTGTACTTATGACACCCATTCCAATTCCCATTATCCCCTGCCCACTTCCACAGACTGTCCAGATCCTTCTGGATCCTGAGTACCTGCTCTTCAGTTGTGGCCATCGCCCCCATTTTAGTATTGCCTGTGAATCTGATCAGCAGACTTGTCACCCCCTGCCCCAGGTCATTGATGAAAAGATTGGAGAGGTCCCAGGACAGACCCTGGGGGGGGGGGGGGGGGGGCTTGTCACTGGCCACCATCCTGATGATTTCCCACTAATATTTACCCTCTGCTTTTGGTCCTTCAACCACACCCTAATGCATCAGGCAGTGCATTGGTCTATCCTAAAATGCCCCAATTTCTCAACCAGGATAGCATGCAGCACTTTGTCAAAGGCCTGACTAAAAATCCAGGCAAGCCACATCCTCTCCATCCAGCCACCTCGAAACCTTGTCATAGAATTCCATGGGGTTCATCTGGCACGACCTGTTTTTGTACAAGCTGTGTTACGTGGCCACTTCCCTATCAAGGTCTCTCGCTATTACGAGTCTTTGCATTGTCTTTCCTAGAATGGATGCAAGGCTAACCGGTCTGTAATTCCCCATGTCCTCTATACTACCCTTTCTGAAAACTGGGACCACTGATGCCACCCCCCAGTCCTCTGAAACCTCACCCCATTCTCCACGAGGCCTTAAACTGGCAGCTAAGACATGCAATGTTTGGCACCTCCCCCACATCAAGGAGAACTGCATTCCCCATGTGGGTGTCACCATGGAGAAGGACCATTTCTGGATGGCTGCCAGATGGCCATCTGCATAGCGATCTGCAGTAGGAGACAAAACCGAATTTCCTCACCTCTGCATCTAACTGATGTTCCCTTTGATGCCAATGCCCAACATCTGTAAGCGGTGAGGGCCCCCACCAGCACAACACACCATGTGTGCAGATGAATGTTTTGGCTGCTGGGTCTTCTTCCTTCTCATGACTCCCTTTTGCAAGCACAGTGTGTGCAATTAAGTGATCTGCATGCAGAAGAATTCTTCTGCTAGCAGATGCCCCTGCTGACTGGGGAGAAGCAAACGGAAGGGGGCCAGCATTCAATGCGACCCAGTTCTCAAAAAAGATATGCCAAAAAATTCCATGAGATTAACATGACAGTATTTAGCTGACTAGGCATCAGAGAGCAAAGCAAACAGATTTGCCACATTTCAACAACCATCTCCAGTATTTATAAACATAACATTGTCACCTCAGGTTTGTCCGCAAACTTTTTCTTTGCCAATCTTGTCAGGCTATCCTCAATTCCTTTCTTGGATTTATTTAATATTTCATCTGTCTGGTCCACCAAGATCACACTGTGGCCGGTTGCTGCAGCAACCTATTGGAAGAAAGGAGAGGGATGAAATGACCAAAAAATAGGTCAATTAGTCTACAAGGAAGAAGAAATTTAAGGGAAGGAAGAAGAAAAAAGTCATCTGCAAAAGCAAAAAGGTACAAATAATTTTTGAGCTAACATTTAGTTAATATATTTACCTTCTACTTTCAACCAAAAAGTTCAGCCAAACATCCTTTTGTCCTCACAACAACCTGTGAAGTAGTTTAAAAGAATTTGGCTAGCCCAGTGAACCTAATAGCCATACACAAAGTCAGACATGGTATTCCACATTAATAAATCCAATGCTAAGTAATACAACACCCCAGGTTGCACATAGCACTAACCCAAGGTTTATTTTATCCATGGTTTGATTGACAAATGATCAGAAAAGCTGTGGTTTGTTTTCTCAATCCCTGAGTGGTTTGTTTCCTCCTTCACCTCCTCCCTCTTTGCATCCCAACTACTTTTGTGTCACTTGCAGAACAGCTGTGGTTTTGATTTTAGCTTTTGCACTTTTCCCATTCTTGTCTGTCATGTTTATAGTCTGGTAAAACAACCCATGAATAACTTGCAGTTCTGTGTTCAAACATAACAACAACCCATGGTTTAAAAAATCCAGAGTTCACAAACCATAGGTTCTCTTGCAGGAGTGTTTGAGGTCAACAAACCATGCTTTGGTAGCATGGCTGAGTTCAACACCAGCAGTCCAGAATTACGCAGCTCATGTAATGTTACATGAACATTACAAGTGGAAAATGAAGTTCCTACACAGGATTCGCTTAGGCACGACCCCAGTAAGGGCACTCTGAAAAAACAGGTATGGAGGTCCAAAATGAACCTTCTCTTGCCACAGCCACCCCATTTTCTCTCTGTTAGAATCTCTCAGTAAAAGCAACTGACCTTCATTTCCCCTTTTAGGAAAGCTACTTTTTAACAGAACTCATTTCCCAAAATGACATGACAAAATTCTCATGACAATTTACTTTCTGAAACAACAGGTCCTTGTTCTAGAAGAAACTGCAACTTTTAAAAGATGTTCCTGGGAATGAACATCAAGAACTGCACTGTCTAAATTATTCTGGGATAAAAAGAGTCACTGCCTGCATTCCAGCTGGATGCTGTTTTATCATACTAGGAAAATGCCCATTAATAATCTGGTGTGATCATATAAGAATGGAATGCTTTTTGCAATAAGCTTGTAGAGGATATAACACAGTTTTCAGACGAAGACAGCGGGCACCCTTCTGTGGCAATACCATCAGTGGGAGTTGTTTCACCTATTGTCACAACTGGTGATTTTGGCCTCCCCACAACAATGCCCCTCAGTCAAAATGCTTTATTTTTACTCATAGGAGTGCATGGGTTTTGCTCACTTATACAGAAGTAAGTAATGGGGAGAACTGGGTTAGCAGCTAATATACAGTATGAAACTAAAGGTTACGACATTATTCAGAAATACTTGGAATATCCCCCTGCTCCTCTAATATCAGTTTAATCATGGCACAAAAGCATCTTACACAGCCCTTACCAATGATAGGACTACTTCACAACAAAAATCTGTACAAAAATTAACTTGTAACATATAATTCTGGTAATTACACCTTTTGTGTAGGAACGTTTAGAACTGCAATGAGTCTGATAAGTTTCTTAATGGCCTTTTAGGTTTGCCTGTCCTAAGCTGTAAGAATTTCACCAATAAACAAATCCGGGGAACCACTGCAAACCCAGAAGGCTCATCTCACATTTCTGACCACACAGTCCTGCAATTATCAAGGATAGCATACAAAAGAGAGAAAACATCGGAGCAAATGCAGAGTGTAAGTCCATTGTCTCAGGTTCCTTGCAAGAAGAAAGGTGGGTATAAATGTAAGCAATAATAATGTAAATAGAAAATAGCTTCACAAAAAGCATTTTTCAGAAGGTGGCTATCAGGATTACCAAAGCATGAAAGCCAGTTTGCTCAGTATGAAATGGCTATCTGTTTTAACAGGCATTTTGCACAAACCAGTTGTATCCAAGAGTAGATCTAAGCTGAAAGTTTGCAAGCCACCCTCCCCCGAAAATGTTCAGCCTGGTATGCAGCATATTCAGAAGATCATGCTCATGGTTTATTCTCACTAGCTTTCATGTAGATTTCAAATTTCACATTTTTCCTAACTTGAGAACTACTTTGGTACAAAGTAGAAAGATTTAGAAATGTTTTGTTTGACAGTACAGCTAAATTGCTACTGTTACTACACAGTTGTTTAGTATGGGAATGTAGTTTTTGCAGTTTCCCTTGCAGGCAAAGCATTGTATAACCTGGAGAGTTCAAGAGAAGGTGGCCCAAGAAAGGATAATACCTGTTATCTATTCTGTAGACATTAAGCAATCCTAAGAAGTAACAGCCACACCTCTTCAAGCGAGTACAGAAAAGTGGTTTAAGTGATACAGTTACAAGTGTGCCTATTTTGGGTGGGAAAAACAAATGCTTTGGGGAAACTGTATTACTGTCCCTTGACAAAGGGGAGGGTAGGAATGTAGCTGGGTTTGAGTCCACACTCCATTAGGTCTTCATTTTGCAAAGCTCACATTCACTGATATTTTGGGCACTGCCAAGAGTGAAACGTGCCATCTCCCCAAGTACCAAGCACTCTATGCTTCTTGCTTTTGTAAGAGGAGAGCGCCATGCAAAGAGGCAGCACATCCTTAAGAGCGGACCACGAGAACACGCGCCACGGCTAGGGAAAGGAGTGCGCATTGATCATGTGCTAAAGTGGGCGGGAATCCTCCAGCATTCACGGTTTGCCCTCCCCAGCCAAATCTGGGGCAAAGGGGACATATTTTCCACATCAGGAGACCTACCTTACCAGCAATTTCTTTCCCTAGTTATCCTTATTAATGTTTTTGCAATTTTAATGCTATGCTCTTATTAGAAACTAGTTCATGAGAACCGACTACTTGCTAAGTGTATTGCAATGCGCAAGAAAGGGAGCAGAGGTGCGTGGAAAAACCTACCCCCGCCTTTCTCCGGACTACCCCAGGCTCGAAGGAGAAGGGCCCTGAAGGAGAGTTGCCGCCGCCTGCCCACGCCTTCTCCCGCAGGCGGCCAGGCGGGCAGCCCACCCGCCCACGGCTCGCTCACCTGGGCGATCCCGGCGCCCATGAGGCCGCCCCCGATCACGGTCACATGCTTTATCACCATCTTCTTGGCGGCAGCGGCGGACGCAAAGCGCACGAAGGGGCGAGTGGCGAAGGCCATGGCGGAGCGCGCTGCAGCTGGGAGTGCCGTGCGAGGGGCGGCCACGGGCGGGCCTGCGCCGAGCAAGCCAGCGGAGCTCGGCCGAGCGGGAGCGGGGCAGGCGGAGATTTCACCCAGCACCTCCCATTGCCTCCGAGAGAGGAGGGGGGAGGGCGGACGCTTCGGGCTGCCGTCCCGCCTCCCGCGAGTCGCGCTCTGCGCCCTTGCCTCGGTTGTCGAGGGCGCGGTGGACACCGGCGGGGCGGGCGGAAAGTCCTGCGCCTCCTAGCGTCCCCCGCGAGCGTGGCAGGCCGGGGAGCGCGGCGAGGTGTCGCGATGTTTCTCCCTGGACGTGTCTAACGTTGCTCTCCCCGGCTTTCCTGAAAAAATCTATTTTATTGTTTAAACAACAAAATGCACGGCTACGCCTTTTCAGCACCATAAACGGCAGCTCTCTCGCCCACTCAACCACTCCTCCAAATATATGACTCGGTTAAAAAAAAATCCATGACAGGGACTTCAATAAACGTGAGAGGCCCCATGTAGCTCTAAATCATTATCATTCAAGGCAGTCAAAAGGAGTTTTTTGGGTTTTCTTTTCCCTTCTTAAAGGATTACAGTGCAATCATGGTACGGGAAAAGAGCTTTGCAAACAACCTGGTTCGACGACACGTGGATCGTAGAATAAATCAAGCCAGAACTTGCTCTAGAGGCAAAAAAAAAAAAAAAAAAATGAAATGGGGTTTTGGTACATCATTAGAAGGCACAACTCACTGGGGAAGACAATCATGCTATGGAAAGTTGAAGGGAGAGGAAGAAGACGACAAACTATGCGATGACCCGATTACATAAAGAAAACCATAGCCTCGAGTTTGCTAGAACTGAGCGGAGCTGTCCTTAACACACTGGAGGGCATTGGTAGGGCCGCCATAAATCAGAGACCACTTGACAGCTGCAACAACAAATGCATACATAAGGTTGAGGTCAATGGGACTTGCTCTCAGGCCAGTGGGAATAAGAAACTGTAAACGCTCTTACTAAAGATTGTTCCATTGACCAGACTGGGACTTGCCTCTGAGTAAATAGTGAGCACGGCCAGGATGTGGGGCAGATGGAGTGTCAGACCTGGGATTGAGAGATCCCTCTTCAGCCATGCAGCCCAGTGGGTGCCTCTGGCCCAGTCACAGCTCATCCTAGCCTACCTAACAAGGTTGTTGTGAGGATCAAGTGGAGAGTAGGAAAATCGTGTAAGCTGCCTTGGGTTCCCCAAGGTAACATATATGTAAATAATAGTAGCAATCATCATTATTATTCCTAGAATTGCGCTATCTGCGTGTATCAGATCAAGTAACTGGAAAGGGGGATTGAAGGAGCCTGATTAGCTTAACAAACGCCATTTGCTTTTTGTAAAACTGCTTGCCTCAGAGAAGAAAAGGCAAAAGAATGTTGATAAAGGGAAACAAGGAAGCAGTGAGTGAAGAAGACCCCCTACGCAAGGTCTGGCACGTAGCGATCACGGTGCCCCTGTGAGGGATTGGACGCAGACAAGCGCCTGGACGAGGTCAGGCATGCAGCGGACATGCAGACCCTGCAAGGGGATTGCGTGAAGGGTCAGGCAGACCCTGAGAAGGGACTGGGTGAAGGAACAATGGGGTGAGATTGAGTGAAAGAAGGTAAAAGGATAGGAAGGGTCAGTTGGAGGAATGTGTGTCGCTTCCTGCCTGCGGGTACGGAGCGGACCCCCGGTTGCTTTGCTCAGCTGAATAAAGGAACTGAACGAATCTCCACCTGACTGAACCTCATTGGCACCTGGTTTGGTGTGCCTGCGGTCACCTGGCTAGCAGGGACACCTACAGGATAACTAATAAAGAGTTCCAAAGTCCTGCCAGGTTGTTTCTACAAATAGTAACAGAGGTAACAGGCAGAAAATGATTAGGGAACAGTTGTAGGCTCCCTGGGAGGGTGGCTGGAAGATATCTTTCCCCAACCTGCTGTCTCCAGGTGTATTGGTTTACAACTCCCAGCATGCTCCAGCAGGGATTGGTAGCAGATCGATGAACAGATATTTGAGATTACAACATCTTTGCTGTTTCAGATTGCTTCTTCAGGGGCCATGCAAGATATCTGATTTTCTGTGGCTCCAAATTTATTTCTGCCTGTACTTATAGCTCACATGCCCATGCACATTCTCCTGCAGGATCTAAAAGAAGGCAAGGAAAAGGAATAGCAATCACAAGATGAGTAGTTTGTAGGCCAAAGCACCTGGAGGGCCATGACTCCTATCATCCGTCACTTTCGGCTAAGTGTGGGCAGAAAGTACATGTCTGTCTGTTTTGGGCCCATTCCCAGTGCTCTATTGGCAGGGGCTTCTGGCCACTTAAGTCTTAATTGTCTGCCAACAGAACATGTGCTCTTTCAAAACAGTGATTCTTGTTGCAGATAATAATGCCCTTTTTAAATATGCAGGACTAGAAAGCAAATAAGGTTATAAAAACTACTGGACAAAGGGTCAAGCATGTCGAAGCAATGCCTCCTGCAATTCCCAGTTTCCACTTTGTAGCCCTACCCTCACTGCAGTCTCCCAGCTTGGGTGACCAGCTCTGTTTCTTGCTACCTAAATTCCTTATCTTCCCTCTGTCTAGCTCCTTCTTTTAATACATAATGAAAGGAAGACAGATTTGGATTTTTTGAACTACATCTTTTTGATTTGAAATCAGATTTTAGAAGTCCAAAACAGTTACATGCACAAAAAGGAATGAGGCTTTTAGAATGTGTTTTACCCCAGCTACAAAACGCAAACACATATTTAAATTGTGGCATGTGACAGGTCTGTGTAGGATAGATTTTTATCACCACCCTGTTGTCCAAACCCAGGTGCCATAGCTTGTGAGAGGGAAACAACCTTCTAATAAGCATAAGTTACTTCCCACTCCCATAAGCCATGCTGCATAGGTTCAGATGACAGGACAAGTTGTGTCCACATGATGATTATGAAAATTGTGTCCTATTAGCTGCTATTGAAATACACATGATTTACATTCAATGCACCATGGCTTATTTTGATCTGCCAACCATATCAGTGTGCAAAATATAGCTTTGCAGAATCAGCTGCCCTAAGCTGGGGTTAAAAAAAAGAGAATGTTCTCAGGTTGGAAAGCAGGAAGATTAGCCAGAGGAAAGCACTGTTTATGTAACTTTGTAAAACTAATATGAACATAATAAATCCCAGTGCAGATTGAATATGCATATATTGCCCTATGATGCCATTTTCAGCATGAGCTCTTCATCATGATCTTAAGGAATACAACACTTGAAAGGGAGTCACAGTGGAATCAAAGATTGCTTTGATTCCAGATAAATCAGGATGGGAGAGAGGCAGTTTCCAGATGCATAGGAATAGCCATCAGTCACGTAAAATCTTACTTTATATAGTGTTAATTAACATGCATTCATTATTAATATTTATTAATTAGCACTATATAACATAGAAATTAATAACATAAGAGCAGTAAATAATATACGAGCAGCCTTGCTGGAGTGTACCAAATGTTTATCTCGGTCAGTAGCTTGTTTCCTACATGGTGTCTAGTCAGATGCCAAACTGCAAGCAGGACAAGAAGGCAACAGCTCTGCACTGTTACAGGCCACCATTGCATGTGTTCGTCTTTGCCAGATGATCCACTCTTCTGGATTACAACCAGAACATGGTACTGAATGTGGAGTTTACTTGCATGGAATGTGTCTAATTCAGAAAAAATGTGAAAATGTAGCATTTTTGTTTTATAGAATTCTAAAGCTTCATTCTTTTTTAGATTTGCATGCCTTCCAAACCCTTGCCATATACACAGAAAACTATAGTACTCATGAGTGTTTCGGGAAATACTGCTAAAGCTGCAATTCTCTCATTTACCTGGGAATAATTGTTACTGGATTGCCAATTAGATGGTGTAAATGAGCATAAATCCATCATGGCCACCAATATCCAATTTCAGAAGGGTTTTCCTGACTTCAAACTCTCCCTTCTGGCCCCAGCCTTGCTGCAACAGAAAGCTTTCCTGAGGTCCATCTCACCTCTCTCCTGAGGTCAGTATTCCAGCCTTGAAAAGAGGAAAAAAAGGGTCAGCACAAGCTCATGGGTGAACTGGGAAAGGACATTCATGTAATAGATCTTCTCAGGCCCCAAGCATGCCACCTCCAGGAAACATTTAGATGAGTTCAGCTTTGAGCTAAAATTGTCCTTTTTCCAAGCATTGTATGGCAGGGACTGATTTTTCTTCCCCAAGCAAATTGCAAGAGACTGAGAAAAAGCAAAAAGTCAATTGACTTCCAGATAGTAGTGCTTTTCAAATAAAAAGGTTTATTTAAAGGAGATTCACACTGAGAAAGAGATCTCAGGCTATATGTAGAAATAGAGGCACATTTTTAAAAGTTAGCACCTGTCTCAGATGCTAGTTTCTAACAGTATTAACAATCCTTCCTACTAAAATTCTAAACAAGGCATTGATTTTGAAAAAGGAAAAAGCCAGCAAGATGTAGGGAACTTACATATATATAATCATTAGCAAGGCCTTACCACCTACAAAAATACAGAAATACCAATCTTTGGATCCAGATTAAAATATAAAGTGCTTCATTAAAATGTTGCCTTATTACAGGAGGTCTAACATGCCAGACAATGAATCAGTTCAACTGCCAGCTTCATAATGGTTCATGAGAAGCCATGTCATACCCTTGTTGATCTGTTGTGTTTTCCAGACCCGCTCACAGTCTTTCTGTACAGCACCTTTCGTTTCTCCAAACCACAGACAGAAGCAGTAATCTGTTCTAAGGTTTCCATGCTTCACCATGACTTCTCTGGTCATCTGGACCCAGCATTTCCATTTTGCCATTGCTGGTATGGGAACACCACAGAGTCCTGCTAAGAGAGTGGCCACTCAGTCATCCTTATCTACCCTCAGCTCCCCAGCAACACAGGTGGCATCACACACTTCATTCTTGTTTGCTTTTGGAAATAGGAAGAAACTGGATACTGCATGGAGGAAGAAGGGGGTGTTGCAGCAACTATGATTTAAATTTTTAAAAAAATCCTTTGCAGCTGAATTAGCTAGGAAGCACTGCAGAAATGCAGATATACTTACAAGAGGAAGGCAAGAGAACCTGTCTCAAAACTTCAGCAGACCAATCAAGATGAGGCTGCTGAAGTCCATAAGCAGCAATAGTGTAAGGAAAAAGATTTCATTTGTGAAGAAAGCATGACAAGAGCGGGAGAATGAAGCAGGGAACACACATGGTTGTCTGATTGATAGGTTTGGTCAAAAATCCATGCCCCTTGGAAACCACACAGGGTTGTTTGCTAAGATATGTGAATTCAGCCAGTGCTTTTTGCCTATTAAGCCTCTTGTTCCAAGCAGAAAGTAAGCAGGGCAATTACTGTTTTGCAATGAAGAATCTTCAAGAAACTTCCAGGTGACCTGCCTACCTTAAAGGCATGACCACTCGGCAATCTCAACAGCACAGGTCAGACCTGCACACTGTTGATTTAGAGGCTTGTACCACTTTTGACTCACATCACTACCACCATTCACTGGCAAATAGGTCAGCCCAAAGCATTGGCAGTATGGTTTCCTATCCTTGGATAAACGTGCAGGCGCTAGTGTGACTTGTTGGCTTGAATACAAGCTTCTACCATTTGCACATTCATAACTCCCACAAAGATCAGAGGAGTAAAGGCAAAGGATGCCATCAGGAAATGGCCTCCTTCCACATACAGTAACATAAGCAAGTATGCAGGATTAGAAATGCTTTTGCCTTCCTGTACATTTTGCATCACGTACAGTTAAGCATGCAAAGGTTTGCCAAATTGCTTGAAGCAGTATAATTTGAACCTGTAAACACTGCTTCCTATGGCCCCTACACTGACCCTCAAATATTTTTTCTACAGCCATTGCAGGTCAATTGCTGGCTAAATCAGTTTGGCTCAGCGCAGATCTGCAGTAAATTAAGAATACAGGAAAACCCAAAGGCCAGCTAACTATAGAAAGTAAGATTTAACTAATCTCAAAAGGATCCAGTTTTAGCAGTAATAGAGCTACCATGAAGCAAGCTCCAGAATATATACAGATGTATAGTTTTGAGCTGTAGAAGTACACGAAACACATTCGGATCTTTTCAGCCAGATCAAGGCTCGGGAGAAGCAGGTTCTGCATGACTGAAGCAGAAACCAGCTGTGCACAGTGCTGATTGTCTGAAGCCCACTGACATAACCCATTTCCCCTAAAGCAAGTCTTCCACATTTTTCTGTTAGCATTATTGGAATGAGTGTGTGAAATGTACATTTCATTGAATAAATGTACATGCAGCGCTTAATATCACCTTTAAAAAGCTGTCACCCTGCCTGAAGCATGGGAACAAGGCAAGCCTGAGGACTGAACCAGCATTTAAATCAGTGGTGCGCAAGACTGCTCTTTTCACAGTGAAGGTTAGTAAACGTGAGACTCGCTCAGATGGAGGAAGAACCATGGGGTTTTAAGATGCTTCTCTATGAACCTTCAGTGCACCCTTTCAAAAGGATGCCAGTATTCTCCAATAAATGAGCTATCTGAATACACTGTCACTTTTCACTCTGTTAATGGTCACCTGCTGTCCTACTGTATAAATGAATTTTCTGATATAAAAATCCACTTGATGCCTGACAGATTTGGTAAGAATTTCTGCACCACAACCACCACTCATGGCTCTGCAACTCTGAGAAGTAGAAGCTTGTTTTTTCCCCACTGTCCAGAGTTCAACGTATCTACTGAAAAAATCCCCAGGCTAAAAGGGAACATTGTGGGCTGCAGGCTTTCTATTCCTGCTCAGGCTTGGTGATTTTGTTAGTGAAGTGCATTTGAATGTATAGCCCTGAATTTCATTAGAATAATGCAAACATCATGCAGCATTCTTGTCAGAGGCTGATTCATCTCTTTAAGGCAATTATGTTGAATGGAAATGGAGCTAAAGTCAGGCCAAATCTTCCTTCCATTGATGGCTTTTTGGAGTCTTCGGGATACAGGAAGGTGAAATTTTGCAGAAGGCTCACAAACATCAGAAATAGTTCCATCTTGGCCAGCTGCTCTCCCATGCACACTCGTTTTCCTGAGAAAGAAATCAAAGAGGTTAGACAGAGTTTAAAAAGAAGTATCACAGTAAATAAATATTTACACTTTACCTTGCAACCCATTTTTAAAAGAAATTATATTGAGATCATAATGGGTCCTAGGAAAACCAAGTTTTCATAAACCCAAAGCATATGCTACTTTAAAACCCAAAACAGAGGTTCTATTTTAACTTCCTCTTGAATAAATGCAGGCTCCTGATTCTGAGGGGAGACGGACTTTAACCACTCCACTGGGTCCCCATTTGGCTTACTCATCCCCAACCCTGACTATTTATACAAAGTGTGATCAATTACAGCAAACAGATGGTTGGAAAAAAGGGGAGCTGCAGTGTAATACATCCGGAAGGCACCAAGTTGGAAAGGCAGTAAATGGGCTCTGTGAGACAGGATGAAAAAAAGCCACATTCATTCTGGCCCTTTTGCCTCCAACCTGCTTAACACACATGGTTTTAAAGAGTTTAAACACAAAAAGCCTCTCCTTTATTGCTTTTCTGCTTCATAACATCTAGGGAGCGAAGTGTGATAGAGGAATAGTACACATGCAAGAGGAAAACATACATAGCTTTGCTTTCATAATTAAAGGCCTCATTTCCCCTGCTCTCAAAAAGTGCTGGTGAATTGGAGGGCCATGATGTTGCCTAGAGAACTTGCAAACAACCATAAGTAGGAAATGATGAGTGCGTGATAAATCCCTTGGGTTGAAAACCCTCTCCTATCTCATGAAGATTGTATGTTTATCCTTGTAATATGCATCCATAACAGGTTTAAATTACCAATGCCAAAAGGAATAAATGATTCTTTTTTGAGGAGCTGGCGGTTTTCATCGAGAAACCTTGCAGGATAAAAATCATCTGGTCTCTCCCATATGTTGGGATCTCTGTGCACGGACCACAAGTTAGGAATTATTACACTGCCCTTTGGAATAGTGTAGCCCTGCAGCACTTGAAAAAAGAAGAATAAATCATTCTTAGTCACATTAATCAGTTTTAACCACATAATAGTTACTCATTTATGTATTGCTGTCAAAGATTTACGTGCCAACTTTTGGGTGAAACCTCAGTGTAAGTTGCTTCAGAATAGATAGTTAACTTTAACAAAGAATAAAATCACAATCCAAAATTAAAAACATTCAAACACCAGCAATTAAAGCTCTGTTTACCTCTCATCCACAGAAATCATAGGGTCATAAATATGCTCAAGTTCTGGTGGGTTGTCTGTGTGTGCGCTTTGTGTGTGCGTGGAGTGTGATCAGTTGCGAACACACAGTTATGAATATCTAGATGTGATTTAAATCTCTCCCACAAAAGCACAGAAGGGGTGGAGGGGAGGGGAGAAGTAGAGCAACAAAGCTGCACTGACACCGGTTTGTCACAGCATTGTGCAATTCTGTAATCTGCCTGGTTGTCGAGGTCATCAGCGGACATGTCCTGACAGTTCCACATGGACCTATGGCCGAGACAAAGCCTTCAGTGTGGAAGCCCCAGTCCCATGGCACTCTCTATCTCTAGAGGTGAGGCAAGCACCAACCCTGTGTTGTTTTGGGCACCTGCTGAAATCATCTTTATTTCAGGAAGCCTTTCTTGAGTGACTGGCCACTGTCTTATCAATACTCTGTTTTAATACAGTGTTATATTCTTTTCATTTTTTTAAATTTTGATTGTGTGTAATGTTTTGCACACTACCTTGATGGCTTTTTAGTAGATAAAGCTGTATGTAAACATTAATAATGAAGTAAATATGTACACTGCTTTCTTTCTTCAGGTTTGTCAACAGCTAAAGGAGGCCACCCATTTTAGAAGTGGTATAAGCCCTGAAGAGCAACACTGCATAGTCTAAGCTACAGTGCACTGTAGCACAAAATTTGCCTAGTCACAAAAGTAACTCATGAACAATCTATCTGCCAAATGGCAAGAGAAGCCCTGAAATTGCACCACTCAAGTCTGATCATGGTCCATTCTTCTCTTTGGAGCTCTATCATTGCTCTTTGAAGCAGGAAAAGAAGAGATAGTGGACAGTTGGCTTCTAAACTCCCACGACTGCTGACTTGGACTCTGGAAAACTGCTGCAAATAAGTGCACCAGGACTAATCTTGATGGATGAATGACCTGACTCTCCATAAGAAAGCTTCCTATGTTTCTGTGTTCCTCTACTTCAGGACTAAGGAACTTCTTTCAGCCAAAGGGCCAAATCAAATTTTGAAGAAGCCTTTACAGGCCTATTCCAGTGATGGATGGGACTGGAGACAAAGAGACAGGGCTAAAATATTGGTGTAGTTAGCGCTAAGCCTTAGGAAGGCATTACAGCCTCTTAAAATCAATTGAAGACAGCTGCCCAAAAGCCAGGAAGCCCCAACATGATGAGAGTCTGAGGGAAAAAATGGAGCCAGGGGAAGTTTCTTTGAATGTCTCATAGTGATCAAGTGCAAAGAATGCTCAGTGTGTAAGTTAAAGCAGAAGAACAATATTTGGAAGTGCCTATTATTCAAGTATCAGCTTTTTCGTCCCTCTCCCACATGGGCAAATGGGCAAATGGACTCATACCAACACAAATAAGCTGTATACATAATTGGAGGCCTGTTATATTACTTACCTGTTGTCTCCGATGCCATCCGGGGAATGGAAAGAGGCACAACCACTGTCATTCTTTGAACTTCCATGATTGTTGCTTCTGTGAAGGGCATCCGTGCTTTGTCGGCAAGGGAAGGAGGCCTATCGTGTCCAATCACCAATTCAATTTCCTCTTGTACCTTTTCTATGCCAAGAAAAAATAAATTCAGAAAGCTGAGCTTTGGAGGAGAGATGGAAATTGGAAACTACAGCCATAAACCAGGGAATCCAGCTATTGGATAGTACAGAAATGTAATACATAAAAATTACAATAAACTAAAGGATATGTGGCATATAGACTCATTCATGCTACAGATCCATGAATGAGAGCCAGTGTGGTGTAGTGGCTAAGAGCATGGGACTGGGACTCAGAAGACCTGGGTTCTGGTCCCCGCTCAGCCATGGAGCCAACTGGGTGACTTTGGGCCAGTCACAGACTCTCAGCCCAACCTACCTCACAGGGTTGTTGTTGTGGGGATAAGATGGAGGAGGAGAATGATGTAAGCTGCCTTGAGCCCTTTGTAGGAAAAAGGCAGGATATAAATCGAAAAATAAACATAAATAAATAAATCCAGGGAGAGAGAGAGTTCATATGTTATTCCAGATTTGTTTTTTTCCTTGTATTGTATTAAATATTTTTAAACTAAATGGAAAGCTGCTTTAAAAAACCCAGAATGTAGTTACTTTAAAACTGTATTTCCATTCTGACTTTACATGCTTCTTTGGGGTAAGGGAGCAAAGAAAGATTGGGCTCCAGGGCATCTCTCTTCTGACAATTTAATAGCCAATTAAATGTCAAACACTGCCCTTGAGTGGCTAAAATTCCAAATTTTAGGAAGAGTCAGAAAACACTTCTTTGAAAAACAAGTTACATGAAAATGGATGGAACCCTCATCTAGTTGGATACAATTACAATGGCTTTACTTTGGTAAGGTTACCTGGCTTTTAGGAGTATTTTTACTGCTTTGGGGAAAGCTTGGACCCCTCCTAGAATGGTGAGGTCCTCAAATGGCAATGCGTGTGGACCAGTCACATCAACATATTCAAAATTACCACCACTACCCACAAAAGATGCCTTGGGCCTCTTTTCTTTAATCTGCTACTACCAGGCTGGAGCAGCAGTCTGCATCAGCAGTACTGCAGGCACCAAAACCTCCTTACTTCACATTTCACCTAATTTCAGCAAGTTTCAGTTCCCCGTTATATTGTATGCAAGAACTAAGAAGGTCTGAGAATTGCTTTGAGATGCCTTTTTACTTTATGTTTTTAGAGTACAGCAATACATTTATTCAGTTGCTGGTTTTTTGTCAGTGACACAGCTTTTAAAAGCACTATAGTCATGCAAAGAACAGATGCCAAACTTAGCTCAGAAGAATATCTATTACCATGACCCACATAAATCGTTTTCTGATTGAGCATACATAAATGACTGTGTGCATTTCATCTTACATGTTAAGTACTGAGGAGGAATTGTAAGTGCCTTGAGGTTCTTCCAAGAAGAAAGGTGGGATATAAATGCAGTGTAATAATAGCAAAATGATTTGGTCCAACAGAAAATATATGTTTTTCCTTTTTTTGATTCTGAAACTTCTCTGAATCATGGCTGACTGCTATAGTTCACACCCGTGCCAATGGGCAAACCAAGAAATATCCTAAATTTCCAACAGGTAGTTTGTGTTAACAGCATATCAATGTATCCAGTGCAATTCACATCACAGGTATGTGCTTTAGAGAAGAGATACACAGAAGGTAGAGTCCGATGTCTGGGCCCTCCTGTCTGGATCCCAGCATTTGTATTGCCATACAGGCAAAGACTAATGGCAGCTAAAAGCCCAGACATCTGCTCATTTCAATCGTAGAATACAAAGAGGCTATGGTGGCAAGAGAATGAAATAATAGTTGGGATATATTTAAAATATTCAGTGAACCATTGTGTTTTTTTAACACTAGGAATAAAATGTCTAAATTTCTGCTTCATATGGCAACAAACCCTAAAAGCTGCCTCCTCCTGGTCACCACTCATGTGCTTGCCCTCTCCCACCCTGGAAACCTGCTCAGAACAGAGGCTGCTCTTTCATCTTGCTCCTGTGAATACACACCTCCTGAAAAGGAAGTGACGGCAGGCAGCAGCAACAGAGCCAGGGGCTCCAGCGGCCGCCCACCCCTCTCTTAAGGTAGGGGCCACATCAAGCGCTCCACCACACTGATCTTCATTACCCACTCTGTGAAAAGCCTTTCCCAGCAAACCCAGTGAGGCCTAGCCGCCACAGGAGACACAGAGACGAGAAGGAATGCCATTTACTTTGTTCCTGGGGGTGAAGTGCCATGTAAAGCAGGCTCCAGAGCAGCGTGTTGGATGTTGTGTCCGTGCCCGCGATAAAAAGATCTCCAATAATAAAGAACAGGTACTCTTCATCGAAGCTGCTCTCGCTGTTGGTCTTTTTCTCCTCATCCGCATGCAGGAGGTACATATCAATGAAGTCCTGGGGGTTCTGAGGATCCAGGCTCTCTCTGTGCTGTGCAATAATTTTCTTCAGGAAAATCGTGATATCCAGCTCGATCTGTCGGAATTCCCGGAACGGCCCAAAAGGGAGGTAGTACAGCCAAGGGCAGATGTTGATGAGAAGGAAGCGGCTGTTCAAGCTGATCTCCAGGGCCCGCGACATGAGGCTCAGCATGCCCTTGAAGTTCACGTCATCATAGTCGAAGCGCCTGCCAAAGGCCATCGAGCAGATAATATTGGAAACCGCGTTGCCAATAATGGGGAAGGGGTTGAACGGCTCCCTTCCATGCTTCAGGATCTCTCCTTTGACATACTTGAATTCTTCAATAATCTTTGGTTCCAAGCTGTGCTTCCCTAATCCAAAGTGACGGAGAGTCGAATGGGAGAACTTCCGCTGTTTTTTCCATACTTGGCCGTACGGTGCAAACACCACACCTAAATGAAATGAAAATGCTTGGATCAGAAATGAGGTTACTCATTTTCTTGGCAAGAGTCATCTGACCTTTGAACCCCAGAAATCTTGTGTAGGGTCTCTCCCTACCCTGCCACCCCAAATTTCAACTTCTGATATTGGCTTTGGACGGGGTGACTTTACAGAATGAACAGGGAGTGCAAACATCATACAGCCTCTCTTTTAATCCACAAAACAGTCACATTTGAAGTCACTCAGAGGACCTTTTACTGTTCTAAACCATTTCAGTGATAGCTCAAGTTGTTACAATGTGGGTTGAAGAGTGAATGCAAAGAGAGCTGGAAAATTTGCATTGACCCACTACATGGCCATGTCATAAATATCTTAAATCACAACAATAACAAGACAGTGGTACTGGAAGGATTCATAACATGTTCAAGCTGCAAAATACTTCAGTGGTCAGAGAGTTCAACTCCCTTTAAGTGGCAATATCCATTCTACTTATCTCTTGCATACAGCAGTTACTCCAACTACTTGTGTACCTCTACAAAGTAATAGATGGGACACAGATACACCAATGAAAGAAGTACCTGAGAAGTAGGTGGGCAACTCCTATAGCAGAGGTGGGGAACAGAACAAAACAGAAGTAGATTTGGAAGTGGCCTATAATGCCATCAAGTCCAACCCACTGCACTGTTTCAACACATGGTCACCCATTCAGCTGCAGCTTTTCAGTTTAGCAAAAGTGATCAACATGCTAGCTCTGCGTAGAGCTATGCAGGCAGTTTGTCTTCATGGTTTTGGGCTTCAGCTCTTATAAATCCTAGCCACTGGAAATGCTGGCTGGGGCATATGGGAAGTATAGATCTTTAAAGATTCAGCATCTGCACCCAGGGAGCTGAATGTCTATTTCCAGAATGCCTGCTCTTGACAAGTAAGGTGACAGTAATACACACACATGCACAGAAAGCTACAGGACTACAGAGTCAGTAAAGGAAACAGATCGAGACATTTTAATCATTTCTACAAGAGAGGCCAGTTCCTTCCAAAGGGTCCCACTTGCATCAGCATTATCAACAGCTGACGGCGAGGATGATAAGAGAATTGTTGATAAAGTATGAACTGTTTTGATTAAATACTGGAAGAACCTCATATGCAAATAGACCCAAGGTCTCCTCTGTTTCACAATACAAAAGCCCAAACAACTACACCAAAGGGTGTGTACACTTCAGCTATAACACCAGGGCACTCTCATGCACTCCCCCCCCCGCCCCCGCACACACAAAGCTCTTTCTAATTGAAATCCACCAAATGAACACTCTCAGCACTCATATGATCTCCTTTTCCACCAAGATGCCATCAAATAGACACAGCTATACACATCTTTAGTTCACAAGGAACTTCATGCATGCATTTTGCAGAGGGTGCATCTAAAGAGGTGGTGTAGTAATGTGGCTAAAATATATCTCACTCTCAGCTGTAAATGCACTTAGGCAAGACACTGTTACCTCAGTGTCCCTCCGGCACCCGATCGTATGAGCCTACTTTGCAGGGGGACTGTAAAGGCTCTATGCAATACAATCCTATTTCAGTAAGTCAGACCATGTTCAAGGATCAAACAGCCCCAGCAACCGTGCTGGGGACTACAGCCTAAGACCAAGAATGTGAAATACTCTGCATTTATCTTGCGTTTAATTCCCAGTTAAAGGGGGATTTCAACCCTTCTACACTATCAGCAAAAGAGCCTTCTGGCACCTTGAAGGCTGATACATTTACTCGGAGATGAGGTCGAACGGTCGAGCAAAATGCAAGCCACCACACGTCAGCGCAGTCTTCACAGTCTGCAAGCCTTTCGCTTGCAGCCCTTCGCCCCGGACACCCATTCATCAGTCGCGCCCGCATCACAGGCGCGGCGTGCACTGAGCCCTTGCGATCGGGAGGGCCGCCCAAGAAAGCCCCATCACCTTTCTTCTTCGTGATGATGGCCACCACGGGCACGCTGGGCCGGTCGCTGAAGACCTCGGCCTGGTTGACCAGGGCGTCCCGCACAGCCTCAAAGTCGCTGAGCACGATGATGGGGCGGCTGCCCACGAAGAGGCTGAAGATGCTGCCGTAGACCTTGGCCAGGCCGGTGAGCAGCAAATGCACCGAGAAGGGCCGGGAGGCGCTGCAGCTGGAGACCTTCACAGTGCTAAGCATCTGCTCGGCACCGACGACGCCAACCACTCGCTTGATCTTCAACCGGCCGGGCAACAGGGCGAAGGCGAAGTTGCCCACCAGCGGCCAAGGTCTGGGACCCGGCGGCATACCCTGCAGCGCCCAGCGGCGGCCCAGCAGCCGCCAGAAAACCATCAGCAAAAGCAGCCCGGAGGCCGCCAGCAGCGACGAGCTCACCGGGTCTCGGCCCAGAGCCAGCGGCCAGGCTGAAGTCGGCGGCGGCGCCTGCTCCTCCACGCTCGCCACCGCCATCCTGCCCTTAGCGGACTGCCCTGGGTCGGTCTCCGGTCTCCTCCCGCCGCGCGACTGTCAGTAGCAATCGCTACATCTTCCTCCCGGCTATTGTTGATGGTGGCGCGCCCCCGCCCACCGTCCGGTAGCGAAGCCTTCTCCTCTGATTGGCTGGCCGGGGAAAAGAGGGCGGAGCGATTAGAACGCTAGTCTTGGCGGGGGGAGAAGAGGAAACTACCCCCTGACGTGACGTCACGAGCGAAAGGGGATTCTCCAGACTTTTCCTGATCACTATCGCTCTTCTTCTCCTCGTTCCTTGTCCCAGATTATACGGTTGCTGCAAGGAGCGGCAGAGATCGGCTCCCGGCTCGTCGCAGCCTTCAGAATCCAGGAACGCGAAAAGGGGCAGCAAAAAGAAAGGGGGGTGGGGACAAAGGAGTGGGGAAAGGCTAAAGCAAGACAGGGAAGGAGGTCAAATCCATTCCACCAGGTACAATTTCTTAAGGCAAGAAGCCTCCAGACTCCAGCCCTGCCTCCGATCAGTTTGTTCACCCCACAGACGCAAAGCCGGTGAACCTGAGATCGGCGGCAGAGGCCCTTCTCCGGAAACCCTCCGTGAAAGATATTAGGAGGGTGAGTATCCAGAGGAGGGCTTTCTCTGCGGTGGCGCCCAATCTATGGAACGCGCTCCCCAGAGAGGTCCCCCTGGCGCCGTCATTTGTTTTTCAGCGCCAGGCCAAGACCTTTTAATTTAAACGATATTTTAATCATTGCTGATTTTATTTATTGGTTTTAAATTATTAGCCAGAATATTTTCAGGTTTTATATGTATTTCCATAGATATTGATTTATATGTTGGAAGCCGTCCCGAGGCTTATGCGAATGGGACGGCATACAAAAATTCCAAATAAACAAATAAATAAACTGAAGACTGTGTTTATTATTTTTGAAACTCCCTGCCAACTTTTGAACTTGCTCTGCCTCAGCAAGTTCCTGAACCTGCTCCCTTCCTCCTTTTGTCATTGAACGTAAAGATACCGTTACACGAGATGGTTTGTTCAGATAGACTGAGTCTCAGTGGAGCCACGACTTTGTGATGTGGTGCACTCTTCCCCGGGCAGAGCCTCCGAAGAGCGTAGTTTTTTTGGAACATGTTGCCACGAGCTTTGACAATGGCCACTAATTTAGATGGTTCAGTGCCCAGGCTAGTTTTCCAGAACTGTATAGATGAAAATATTTGCACTGGGGACTTTTATATTGATTCTTCTCTACACCAAATGCCATTCAGTAGAATCATTATCAGCTCTATTCTTTCTGATGTTGCTTCTTTCAGGGTTTCTTCTTGTGGTGAAAGTGCTTTGAAGGCAGAGGATAAAAAAATCAATGATTTAAAAAAAAGTTAAAAATGGATTTTTAATTGAAATTGTATTTTTAAAATAAAATGCTTTTTGAGAAAAAAAACTATCTAAAGATAGCTTTCTATTTAAGATAATTGCAGTCCAGAGGTTATTCATCATGAAATAAGGATTTGTTTTTAATTATGTACCATGAGGTTGTATATTCATGCAATGTTTAAATTTCTCGGTAAATGAATTCCATTAATCTATTCACAATGTCATGCTCTTTCGGAAGTTTCTGTAAGATTATTGGGCAATTTTTCTGTCTAGAAGATATTATCACAGATGCTTGATTTTACAGTTCTCAAAACTGTGAATTTATGTCTGGCGAGATCACATGCCCCTTCTTCACAGCAAAAATGTTATAAAATAAGCATATGGAGTTGAGAAAAGGCCATAATCCCATTGTTTCTTTGCAAATCTAAGCACACAGAATCAACCCCCTACCTCTTAAGTGCTAAGTTTCAAAAAATTAAATGAATAGAAGAAGATTGCTGGGAATGGAACAGATTTGCACAGGAAACTAAATGTGGGGAGGGAGGGCAAGCAGTAAAAATGAAAGTGAACCCTTTTGAGTTGAATACTTACAAGTCTTTGTCTCTTTTTGGGTATAGCCTCAGGTTTATCATATTCTCTTCCTGGAGAAAACCTATAATGGCAGCAGGCCATAAAAGAGACCCAGTTTGGGAATATTTTAAAGAAGTTCTTCTACCTACAGGTAAGGCATGCATGCGTGCAAATTACATAGAAAACCATGATTTAAATCTAGTCTTGCTGCCTAGTGATTTAAACCGATTAGATTTAAATTAAATCCACCCATCTAAATTAAAGTCACCCATCTAACTTATTAAATTTCAATGTTCATATTTTAATAACACAACAAAATAATGAAGTAATAACCATGAAATATAGGGATGCAGGTGGTGCAGTGGTTTAAACTGCTGTGCTGGTGTGCTGGTAGATTGAAAGGTTGCCAGTTCGAATCTGCAGAATGGGGTGAGTTCCCATTGCTCCGTCCCAGCTCCTGCCAACCTTGCAGTTCGAAAGCATGTAAATGCAAGTAGATAAAAAGGTACCATTTCGGTGGGCAGGTAACAGCGTTCCGTGCACCTCGGTGTTTAGTCATGCCGGCCACATGACCACTGAGACTGACCACGGAGACTGTCTGCGGACAAATGCTGGCTCCCTCGGCTAGGAAACGGAGATGAGCACCGCCCCCTAGAGTCAGGCATGACTGGACTTAATATCAAGGGGAAATCTTTACTTTTACCTTTAACCATGAAATATATGTCACACTTAATGTAACAACTTCCAACCCATTTGCTGATGTTTACAGTATTTCAAACTGGCCCATTATTTTTGTTACTTCATCTAATGCTGCCTGGGTTTAATCGTTGTAAAATGGCCTTGGAGCTTCTTTTTTTGGAGCTGAAAGGCTCTGTGTGTTTAAATAAATGAACCAAATATAACTCATGTGGCCCCCATATACCTCAGAATGCATATGGTAAGTTAGAAAAGGTGCAGAAAAGGGCAGCCAAAGTGTTCCAGGCAATAGGAAAGGTTATAATGTTTGCAATCGCTTAGCCGGGTGGAGGGGGAGGAAGTACAAGGAGCCATGAGAGACATGTGCAAAAAATATGCATGGTATGGATAAAGTAGATCTCATAGTAGAACCCAAGGTCACCTTGGTATTGAATAGTGGGCAATTCGGCACAGCTAAAGAGAGTAACTTCGCCTAGTGCACAGGTACATTGTGGAATTCGCTACTGCCAGGTGTCGTGATGGTCACCAACTAGGATGGATTTAAAACAAAATAAGCAAGTCCATGGAGGATGAACCTGTCTGTTGCTACAAGTCATGATGGCTACATGTTATGCCATCAAGAGAAGCCTTGAGCACACTCCTCAGTGCTGGCTGCTGCTGGAGGGCTTCTTGCAGGTGACTGTCTGCCTACTGTGAGCACAGAATGCTGGGCAAAGTGGGCCTTTGGTCTGACACCACACAACCCACTTTCTGCTCTTGTGCTCCCTGCGCAGGCTTTCTGATATGTAACCCCCACTGGATGCAATATGATATGGTACTAAGTTTAGACAGAATTGTAGTGCACAGGCATCCATCCAGAGAGCTGAGGTGCCTTTGATTAAGTAGCGCAAAGCAATGGTTGGAGAAGCATATTCAGAACTGCACTGTGAGGAGAGAGGGAGGCATGCACACTTCTGTGAACCAAAATACTGTAAACCGCACAAGCATTTTTTCCTCCAAGGCACTTAATTTTATAACAACATTGTTCTGCAATGTACTTTCTTCCAGAAGATTTGAATTAAAATAAGTTAAGCACATATACAGTCTAACTTTTTCTAAAGCATGCACATTTTAAGCCAATGGGAGCTATATAAGGTTAACGTTTGACCATGCATACAGTATCTAGTCCTCAGGACTGATGAGGACAATTTATAGGGACTGGGGCTTCATTGACTTGCCTCCATCAGTCCATGACTACCAGAGATCATATTGCAAATGTCTTAATTTGGCACACTCTATGCAGGGTGTATCCTGAAGCATAACCCGTATCACAGACAAGAACCTACAGTTAGGGCAGAATATGAAGAAACAGAATTATTTTCTATAGGCAAAGGCATCAGATAAAGGAATATATTAGCTATTTGTTCAATTTGTACACAGAACATATCTTAAGAAAAACTAGATTAGGATCAGAGAAAGGAGGAGTGAAAATTGGTGGATGCTACATCAATAATTTAAGATTTTCAGTTGATACCCGATTACTGGTGGAAAGCGGCAATGAAATGAAATGACTCCTGATGAAAGTGACAGAAGAGATTGCAAAAGAAGGACTGCAGCTGAACACTAAGAAAACAGAAATCATGAATGCAGAAGAATTACACAATTTTAAGGTCAACAATGAAAAACTGAAATTGTGAAAGGTTTTACATACCTTGTTTCAGTCATCAGTTCAAAAGGATGTTTCAGGCAAGAAATCAGAAGACAACAGGTGTTTTAAGGCAGCAATGAAGCAATTATAAAAGATTGTCAAGTATAAGCATGTTTCACTGGAGACCAAGGTCAAGATCATCCAAAGTATTGTATTAGAAATCACAATTTGTGGATGAGAAAGCTGGACAGTGAAGAAAGCTGACAGGAAGAAAACCGATGCATTCAGAATATGGTGCTGGAAGAATGCTTTGCAAATACCCTGGACTGGCAGAAAGATGAACAAGTGGGTCCTGGAACCAATCAAGCCAGAACTTCTGTAGACGCAAAAATGACAAAACCGAAGCTGCTGTAATTTGGGCATATTGTAAAAGGGCAAGACTCGCTGGGGAGGATGATCATGTTTGGAAACGTTGAAGGCAGAAAAGAAGGAGTGCCAACTATGGGATGGATGACATCCAGAAAGGAAGGCACAGCCTTGAGTCTGCAAGAGCTGAACAGGACTGTCAAAGACAGGACTTTGCAGGGCCTGCATTCATAGGGCCACTTTAAGTCGGAGATGACGTGGCAGCATGCCACAATGGCAATGTAGGATGTGCAGTTTCTGACCGGAAATGCATCTCTTTTCAGAGGGCAGTGCAGGAAAAGGGCTGTGGAACACAAGGCATATTCAGCAGTGGAATGACCTGAAATTGGAATATGGACATTTCACGATATTGCAAACCACACAAACGTTTTTTTCCTCCAAGGCACTTTATTTGATAACAACAT